ATATGAAGAATCGCGTTTTGACTTTTTTTTTTTTTGGTTCATTAGCATATCGTAAACCATTTAGCGCTGTTTACGCTGTTATGTTTCTATTAATCGTCGCACAATATCAGGCATCTGAGCACAAAATTTTAACACAATAACTCAGTTATTTTTCAAGATATCATATATTTTGCGCTTGTAATTATTTCAGACATCTTTATGTCTATGTAAATGACACTCCTAGAACCTATAACATTCTAATTCCAGTGCATGTTTCATTTAGCTAGGTCAAATTAAAAATAGCAAAATGCTGTTCATTTTGGTAAGCTTTATTTCCCTATTAGGTAAGAGTATTACGCAAATAGCCTAATTAGGTATTTAATAAAATAATTGAAAATGTTGTAGATAAAACTGCAAACCTTCAAAGGAAAGCAGAGAAAGATACGCCAGGTATAAAGAATGTTCTTCATTACGTATATTTTTGTAAAATGGCTCACGCTTCCGAATTCAGCATCAAGATTTAAGAAAAGGAGAAGAGAACTTGAAACACAATCCGTGTGGTTGCTTGTTTTAAATTTATTTGCGGCAATGTTAAGCCGGGTCCGTTTTTCTGCAGGCAGAAAGAAAAGTAAAAATAATGAAATAAGGATTAAATTAGAGGGTATCTATTTAGTTTCTCAACCACCTGGCCTTCACATCAGCTGTCAAAGCCCCAAGAAGCGTTTCTTAAACTGTGTTCCATGGAACTCCAGGGCTACATGGCGATCCCTGAAGGGTTTCACAAAACTTACGAGCTTTTTTTTTTTTTTTAATATATATAAAATTCAAGAAAGTTTAATCAATAAAAATTCCACAATCTGACGTCATGAGTTCTTATGTCACCATCGGGACAACTTTTGATATTCTGCAGCAGTTGAGCTGGGGAATCACCCGCAATTCCACTATCGGTGATTCTCCAGCTCATTTCTTTATTGATCGCTACACATGGGGAATTCCATAGATCTAGAAATGCAACGGAGTCCTCCAGTTTTAAAAATACAGGGAAATCCCTTGTGCCGCGCATAGCCGAAATAATAATCACTTGTCGATAAGTGTCTTATAAGATACAAACTGATTAAAAGTTCTTTTATTTAAATTTTAGCTTATTGATTGATAAGCTTTGTTGATTACTTTAACGTACACATACTCTTACATAAGTTTAGAAGTAAAAACCACATCAAAATCATAATGTAAATTATAAGGAAATCCAATCAGGATAACAGACAAACATTTATTTTTCGATGATTATAGAGATAGATATCATGAGATAGCCGAATTGATGTCTGTACCGATGGAGCAAGGCCATAAGTGGTATAATTAACGGGGCTGTATATTAACAGGGCTTTATTAAAAATACCGTCCAAAACTGTTCTAGTAACCACTGTAGGACGTTAGGCAGGATCTTGCTAGTTTAAAAAAATATATCCTTTAAATATAAGAACGCTCTTGATGAGGTCGTCAAAGTCATTAACTTCACAAAATCTCGGCTGCTAAACAATCGTTCATTCAAAATGCTACGCAAAGAGTGGAAAACGTACACACTGCACAAAAAAATATGGGACAGTTCTATTAGGTTGGGCGTAATATAAGTATGTAAGTAATTTTTTTTTTTTTTTTACCCCAACAGAGGATTTAATTGTATTTTTTTCCTACCCAACATCATACTTAAACTCAAAATCATTATATATTTTGACAGCTGATATAGCAAGGCTTGTTTTTGAAAATTTTCGATTGATTCTACACAATAGTAACAAAAAAACTACTGTTACAGTGTTTGTGTTTTGTAACACAGTAGTTTTTGGTTGGTGTCCTTTCAAATATGGAAAGTGAAAAGCAGCATTTTCGGCGTATTTTACTTTTTTACTATCGAAAAGGCTAAAATTCTGTTCAAGTAAGAAAAAAATATCCAATTTCGTATGGAGAAGATGTACTGACAGAACGCAGAGGGCTAAATGCCGTTTGCAAAATTTCGATCTGGCAGTTTTGATCTTAAAGATGCACCAATTCTGGAAGGCCATGCTTTGTTATGCGTTTATGTTATGCGCAAAGAATGAAAAATATCTTAAGGTACCTTTAAAATGTGAAAATATCGCAAAAATATAACACATTTTAAAACTCAATTTCCTTATAACTAAGTGGTATAAGCGTGAAAATTTGTCTACTTCTTTCGATGCCCTTGACAAAGTATTCGCTAGTTTTATTTTATGTTCCAAATATCAAAATGTTTTGAATAAAATACATTTTTTGTCCTCCATATAATACTGTAACATGTACTTCTTTAAAATTTTTAGAGGAGAGGCTTAATCATTGCTCATTTTAAACTCATCATTTTATTTTTATATAAATGAAAAATAATCACTTTGGATTCATTAAAAAATGAAATTACCATTAAATCTTGATCAAAATTAATAAATATATACAGAGATATGGTAATAAGTTAATTTTTCCTTCATTTGTAACCACATATTTGAGTAAAATTATTTACAATTTTACGTAAATGTGTGGAAGAGAAGACAGAAATATTTGCCAATACAGCGGAAGTACCATGTGCGGTCAAGATGATGTAACCATGTGAATGTGCCACATTATCAAGACAACTTATTAAGAATTTGAAAACAGGGTGATCGACGGAGGTGAAAACATTTGTATATACTGCCGAAAAAGGTCCGATCGTGAATAGTCCTCTTATTTATTCCAGATTGTTAAATGTTTTTTCTTCTCGGAAGTTTCAACGCAAGCTTCTTCTTTCCGGAAATTCGAGGTTCATGTTCACTTATTTTTGCAAAAATATTGTAAATAATTCAGTATTTATGCGTCAGTTGTGTACAAAACTTATCTTATTTTATGGTTAGTGATTAATTAACACAGTTGTAAGGAAAACATAAAGATCTATCTCGTTTTTAAAATTTTATTTAGCGGTATGTTTAGTTGATGACTAAATGTACAGAGGCTGTTCACACATTTTTTAGATGACGTATATTGTATTCACAAAACTAAATTACATAAAATTCTTGTGTTTTAAATGTTCTATTTGACATCCCTTATTCTGAACTATCTTTCGACACCGCAATTTCCAGGATAATAATGCCTTTTGAAGTGGCAGAAGAGGTATTCCATCCCATTCCTCTCGAACAGCTTTCCAGAGTCCTGTTAGGGTTGTGGGACAACGTTTTTAATGCAGTTTTTAAAAGTCCGAAAGCATAAAAATTCATAGGTGACACATCGGGAGATTTAGTAGGGATATCAGTGAAGGGTATGGCTTTGATACCAGTTTTTTGTTCCATTTCTTTTAGAAAATTTACAGTGGATTTTGATGTGTGACTGCTAGCTTTGTCCTGATGGAGTCTCACAGATTGATGGCACTGTGGGTAAAGCGATGGTATTTCATTCAGAAAAATTGGCGATAAAATATGTTCCTGATAGTATTTGGAGTTAATCTTGACATTTTTTTTTTTTTTTCACTCTCTTTATTTTTAACTTGCCATTATAAGAAAAACCAGCAACAATCATGAATCCCTTAGAAAAACCTTTCTTTCGATTCTTTGAACCATGTACTTAAATTTTTTTCTCCCCTTTTATGATAATAAATGGCTTTTTTTTTTTTTTTTTTTTTTTTGTTACAATCATTTAAATACACCCATGCTTCATCTACTGTGACAAATGTTTTCCATTTTTCTTTGGATAAGTGTTTCACATATAGAATTCTGCAGCGTGTTCTGCGTTGAGCGATATGCTTTGGAAGAAGACGATGTACATTGCGTTTTTTCGCTTTCTTAAGATTTAAATCAACGTTTATCATTTTGTTTACAGTGGACACTGAGCACCTGAATGATTTTGCAACTGTCCTTTGACTAGGGGGGATTTTCTTTTAACATTAAACAACGTACCTTTGCAATAGTCGAAGATGTCCGTTTTTTCCTTGGATACTTGTTTGGAATTTTTGTCCCCCTTGAGGCTCCAATTTGACGTTTTCTTTCCTTTTTTGTTGATGATATTACTTATCGACGCTTTAGATATCACAAAACCATCACTCTCACATCGTTTTTGGATAACGGAGTATGCATATTTCTCTTCGGAAAGAGCGTAAATGTAGCCTTCGAACCACTGCTTTGTTAAATTCGCCATTTTGAATAAAAACAAAAGTTTCAAACCAAAATCGTCTAAAAAATGTGCGAACAGCCTCTGTAATACAACATTATGAATGAAAAATCTTTGCTATTCAATACGTATACTTGAGTAGTGGTCTGCATATTTGAAACATTCATCGGTATATCAATATACTTTGCATTTTGTTACTTTCTAAATTACCTCGTAGTATATAAATTTCAGGTATTTGTGAATTTAGATCAATTAGTTGTTTTAAAGGTTTTAAAAAATGAAGCAATATTATGCAGAAAAAGGCAATCAAGATTGCAATCTGATGACGAGTTTAATGTTTAAATGTGAAATGGATAGTTATTATTTATTACATTATCAGATAACTATTAAACTGGGTAAAATCGCTAAGGTATATTGAATGCTCTGCCAAAATATATTTACTAAAAATTTGAATTTAATAATGAATGTAACCTAAATCCTTACTTCCTACCTAAATAACCAAACCATTCGAGAGGACTTTCTGTTCGCCATATATTTTTGAGTGTCCCAGTGCCGTAGAAACACTATACATTTACAAACAACAATGCCTTCTCTGGGATTCCGTTACCGGGACCCTTCGATACCGTGGTCAATGTCACTAACCACTATTCCGTCTGGGCGACTCATCAATTGTTTCTCCATTGAATGTTCCCCCCCCCCGCCCCGCAGCTGCTGCAGAATTTTTCAGTTTGAAATCTTGAAGGCGGAACAACGTTTAACTGATTGGCTTCCATAATTTCCAAAATTGAGTTGTCACATGACATAAAAAATTTACATAAACCTTACTTTCTTCCGCAATCAGTAAACATTGCTCTTCAGCTCTTCCGCATCCAGCTGTCTCATAGCTATTTCTTTTGAAACAGCTCAACAATAGTTGTAAAATGATTTAGAAGTATATTACCTGTATAAGATGAAAATTTACCCAAATTTTCAATGAACAGTTTTTATGCTTTGCTACATCCTACAGATTCTTTCTAGCCGGAATAAACTTCTGATATTTTTAACTGTTAACCATAGTTCACATTGCGAATATAAAATAAATACACTTTTAATAATATGTAGTGAAATTTCACTAACGACTACATCGCAAAGAAGATCTATTTGAAGGTTATTAGGTGTTTTCTCAATTCTTCCAGCATGTCTCGTGGTTAGCACACTCAGCGCGTATTCGAGAGGTCCAGGATCGAGTTTCGGCGACGGCATTGCTCATTTTTCCCATCTCCTACTCCCAAATAACCTAATGTGGCGAATCTGCAGTGGCGCCCGAACTAAAAGGCGGTGTACAATAATTTATTCATGTAATTATAATTCTTAATTGCTTGTTTTATTTACATGGTGACTAGGATCTCCAAAATTAAATAATTATTTAGAGGAAAATAATACTTTTACAATGGCAGCATATCATTGAAACAAGCGATACAATGCGTTTTATTACTAAAAACCTAACTACTAATACTACTACTTTTATTACTAAAACTAATACTAAATTTATTAACTACTAATACTAAATACTTTTATTACTAAAACTTGAAACCTCACTACCTTTTCTCCCGGGTCACAAGCCTACAATATATAGTAGCTTTTATATTCACTTCAGCTAAATATAAAAAATATGTTTAGTAGCTGAAGCAATCTTACATTAAAAAGCAGATTCAATTATAAATAAAATTTAAGATACATTCCAAATGAAATGGATAATTAAATTCTGAAGCGCTATATTGGATGGGCCAACATCTACATATTTTACCTGAGATTCTAATTAAACAGTTAAAATTTGATTTTATAACATTATAGCACTCAATGCTATTTCAGTTCTTTAAGCCTTTGAGCTCCCCCTGAAAAAGTAGTCTGTAGAAAAGTTTACTTGCTTGTCACATGGTTAACATATTGGTAATAACTGATATAAACAAAATTTTTCTTGACATTTTCTTAAATGATTATAGAAAATATGGTAGTGTACACTACCATATTTTCTAATAATAATTTCTATAATACTACAATACCACTAGCAATAAACGTTCTTGATTTAGATGATAGAAAACAATTCTTATCGTTAAGGCAGAGTCATTCAACTCTTGCAACATTGCAAACAGGACACTGCCATTATTTTTGGATGGGGTTCAACTTTTGGACTGCATAAGGCTCATCACAAAGATGTCCCATATATCGGCATATACGTTGTTTCCTGTAGGCGAATCTCGAAGGGAATCAAACGTATTTATTTTCTGGCTCATGTGTTGATGGCTTCATTTTTTCGTCCAAGTTTTTTCCTGTTTTCAGTGCGCTATCACTCCTCTCACTACTGAAATTCGAAAATCTTTCAGTCGTTAGAATTGATATTCGCTCCTCATAAACAAGATATGCGAATTTGTAATTGTCACGTCAACAAAATGCTAAAACATACCAAAGTTTACCAACGTTCAGAAAATAACTTAACAGCCATTGCACAAATGATATTGAAATTTGATTGCACAAAACAAAAGATTATGGCAATCTACAAGGTTTCACAAAAAGGAATTGTTGAAAAGTTAAATTTCGTCCTCAAATTTTTGCCACGCGCCCAAAGATGGCATTCTATGCTTTTTATTCATGCATGTGGTTGCGCAGATATTTAGCAACCATCCGCCCAGATACCTGAAATGAAGTCATGGTATAACCTACACATGTACTCTCCTTAAAGAAGAGAAGCCGACATATATATCCACTGTAAGTTGGATTCCGTGGCCTCATAAAAAAAAAGCGAATTTTACCTTAAAACTCACATCAAGAAATAAGATAAAAAGCTTCCCTAGCAACTGAAGAAATCTGCTGACAACGATGCCCAGAATCGCAACATCTTAGCATTTGAAGAAAATGTCGCTGCCCAAGCGCAGTGCTCTCCCCAACATAAGCAGACTAAAACTTCGAGCAAGCCGGGGTCAAATGATGACGAAAATATAAATAACTTCTTAAATAAAATCATACCATTCACCGAAAAATATTAGAAGATTAAAACTACAGAGAAAAAGCTTTTGCTTGCGCTTGGAATAGTGGATATGATTGCCGGCAGAGAACTTTAAATTTCTGCTAATGCCTGTATGGTGAATTTTCTTTCTGACCCATCCGAGTACGATCGGTCATGAATTGTTCGCGTTACATGCTCATACATTATTCTCATTAAGCCAGACAGGTCGCGCTTAAGCGATAATTGCGGAAATATTTGAATAGATTGGAAACCACTGGCTTACACTCTATAGCAATTTGAATAGGCGCTTTTAGCTTTAGACTACCGAAAAAGGTTAACACGCAAACAAACAAAAAAGAAAGGAAGAAATAAAAAAGAAACATTTGTAATTTTTTAGCACTGGTTCAACAAAAATCCGAGATCATCAATTCCTTATTAATTCACATATACATATAATACAAATACGTATAAGTAAATTTTATATGTTAATTTTTTAAGTTCAGAACTTTTAATCGATTCAAAACATCCCTTTCAAATGCACAGCCAAAATCACAGGAATTAATCTTCAGGTGTCCCCCCCCTCAATCAAATTCTAATAAAGCAGTGCTGGTTTTAGTGAATGTTTCCATGTTTCCAATGGAAATTGAGGTGAAAAAAAATCACTTAAGAATATTTTCCCTCCTATTTAATTAATTGCCAAAATGTACCAAATTCTTCTAATTTTGAGTTTTATAAATACATTTTTCTGAAAGAGATCAATAATTTAATAGTTCACGTTACATATGCCTTGTTCATGTTGCATCATCACTTCACACACTGGAATAAAAATCCTGCTTATTAGCTGTTAAACTGTATGAAGTAACTAAAGTTTCTGATATATATATATATCCAGAAACTTCAGTAGTAGTATATACATAGTGAATATCTCAGAACGAAATTTGTCTTGGCTCTCTTATTAATTGACCAAGCATGAAGCTTCAAAACCCCTATTCCCTTGACAATTTCTGTTATGAAGCTCCAAACAAGGGACATTAATTTTTTGCACAATTACATACCCCTTTTCTAATTTCTTCATTCAAATCAATGCCTTAGTATCTTAGATTTTTTTAATTTCTTCATTCAAATAAATGTCTTAGTATCTTAGATTTTTGATTTAATGTAGTTCATGTATTAATTTACTAGGTAAAATTCATGTCTTCTTGCTGATGAGTTGGATCTAACATTACTTTTAAACTTCAATTACAATTTAGCAGCACTTTGCGCTAATTTATTCTTTTAATACTAGCATACTTTCTTCTCAACTCATTGACTACTTTTTTCTCTCTCTCTCTATATATAAAGATAATTTAAATTGAAGAAATGAAAACTATTAGTAAGATGAATATTGGAAGACTGTATATGAAAACTCAAGTTACAGCATTTTAACTCAAGTTTCTGATCCATTCTAAGGAATTTTGAATTTTGTCTGACATTCTGGCAATGACATCAAACACTATCAGTAACTGATTCTGAAAAATTAGATTTTTGTTACAAAGTGCAATAGAATGCGATTTAATTGAACTCATAGGAAATTTTGAAGATACTACAGAAAGATAGAATGAAATTTCATACAGCAATCAATTTTCAAATTACACGTGCATCAATATTGGTAATTTCCAATTAATCATGCTCCTTCTTTATATAATAATGAACTAAAAAAAGGTACGGTTCCAGAGAGTAAGCTATTCTTTATCTTAAAATATTTCACAGGGGGAGGGGGGGAACTCTTCTATAACATGCAAAATTGACCCTAGGGGGAGGGAAATCAAAACTGAAGTCAAATCATTTTCATCATGTAAAAAAAAAAAGCATAACCCTCCTCCCCTCCAAATAAATTTTAAGAGACCAGTAAAAAGTTTCCTATACAAAAAATTTTGAATTTCAGCGTGCCTATCAAAGCAAAATCGAAATCCATGCTTCTTTATTAACAATTTTCTTGTGTGAAAGTATCCTTTGGAAACCTGGTCGTTAAAACTCAACCTATATAACTGTTTCTACAATATTTTTACCTGTCGTCAGACACACTGATGGTATTTCAGATAATTTTGATCATATAAAGATTCCTGTTTTTGACTTCCTTTCAATGACAAATTTTTTGAACTATGCATGTCTAAAAAAACAAATTTTTTTTTTTATTTTTATTCAAGAGTGTCAAGTAACTTAAATTGTCAAAGTTTGTAAGCCAACCTTATTTGGTTTGTTTCTAAAACTAAAACAACAAATTTGTAATCAGTCACTTACAAGGTATTTAGTCAAAAAATGTTTCGAAACATCCTGTATGTAATAGGAAAAGATCTTTCAATGAGCAAATGCTAGAACAACCATCACTAAACAATATTTCAAGAGAGACTTACCCTTTTCAATACTTAAGGAATCAATTGCTCGGTAGCCTGCATTAACAAGACCATATTCTTTTCCTTTTTCCATTAAAGCTTTATATACAGCTACACAATTTTCATATGGAATATGGAGTTCCCAGCCCAGCTCTCCGACAAAAGAAAGCCTCAAAGCTAAAACCTAAATTTAATAAAAAGAAAAGACTGAAACATTTTATTATATTGATTCAAAAAGTATAAACAATGAATATATTTCCAAAATTAACTAATTTTTCCGTTTAATTAATTTTATAAGATAAGCAAGTTCTGCAAGAACTTTTAGAGGCAAATTATACAGAAATAAAAATATATGATTGGGCACTAGGAAAGAAGCCTCAGGTTACAACTACACATCATTCATATTTGCGTAATTTTCTCCTTTATCAATGCATTCAGAGAGTTTCCCTTAATGTTACCATAGATTCGTCTACCTAGCGATTATTTTCATTTGACTAACGAAGACAAATCTTTGAAACTATATGCCAAACCAAACCTTTTAACTGTTGAATTTTAATCCAGCCTAATACAAAAAATGTAGTGAAGCAAACATGAACTAACATTCAGTCTACAATTTTGCTCAGCTTCACACTTACTTTCTCTAAGTATTTACGGATGGTTTAAAGCCTAAGGAATGGCAGAGACAATAAATAAATTACCATATTTAATAAATAAAGGTAACACACAAAATGTTAAAAAAACACCTCTTTGGGTGTAATTTAAAATCTGAAACCTTTCAGATTTCTTTTATTTATTTTTTCTGCAGAATATTTTTTGCAGCACTGCCTGTTCTATTGGGTAGGTTGTTTATTAACATTTCAGGGCCAAAATCATTTTCGCCTCACTTAATTTTTTCCCTGTGTGAAATGCCCCTTAGGCAGATAGCCCTAGTGTGCTTTGCCGTATTCTCAATACACCAACACACCCTGTGTGAGATGAAAATGTGAGAGAGGTCAAAAGAAAATTAAAATCGGTTTCAGCACTCTACATACATGAGTTTAATAGCAATAGATAACTTTATGTATCAAGTATTTTGTAATTGCCAAGATTTTAGAGATGGAAAATTTATTATTACCTTGAATCCAGCAAAGTTGATGACTTTGTTACTTGAAAATGGGAAATCTTCATCACTCAGACTAGCATCAGTTAGAGACTGCAATAAATCTCGACTGCAAAGAGACTCAGAGGTAAAATATCAAGCTAATATTTTGTTTCAAAAGCAACAATTAACTTTAATGTATTGCATTTTATCAAAAACATTATCATCATAATAAATTTATATTTATTGCAATAACAGGAGCAACATAAAAAATTCTTTTTTCACATGTATACCATAAACTCTTGTTCATATGGTTCAATCAATGAAATATCATTTAAAATACTATAAACTAGATAATTTGTGATATATAATTCCTTAATAAAACATAAATATGACAAAAACAAGAAAGACACTCCTCACTTTGCGAACTTTTACAGATACGAATAAACCTGTTCTAAAAAAAATGAAATCTGTTCAGAGTTGAAAAGAAAATAAATAATATTAAAAATGGTTACTGAAAACAGAAAATCAATGCTTACAGTGACAGTGCAAAAATATGACAAGGCATTTAATTTAATACAAAAATACAAAAGTCACTATATAAGAAGCTATGAAAAGCAGTGAGAAAACATTGGATGTTAAATATTTGAATGATATGAACAGATCAATGATTGAAACAGTTCTTAAGAACAAAACCCACATACTTGAACATGTAAAAGGTGCAGTGCTGATTCTATCAACAAACCTCATGCATACTGAACAGCAATAGAGAAAGGAGGAGGAACAGAGTGCTTCAATAAAATGTTTAATAAAACGTTAATGGCAGTAGCATTTTCTAGGTTTGACCAAGAGACACATTTTGAGAAGTTTGCTAAAGTCAAGTCTACTGTGCAAGATGCCATACAGTACTACTGACTTATTTACAATGAAACAAGAAGAAGACCTAGCCATATAAGTTAACATACTAATTTTCTTAAGAAAGACACTTCAGAAATCAGTGCTGCTGGCTCAGCTAATATACGAACTCCTTCCACCTCTCATAAAGATCTCACAGCAGACATTTCTTTTAACTGTTAATGAGTCTTCAGATGATGATTCAAATGTTGACTGACCCCCACCCATGTAAAGATCTACTAACCTCATCCACACATACCCTAGAGATGACAATAGAAGGTACGTACTGTATGGTAAAATAATTCCTTATTTATTTATAGCCTTTTAAAATAAATTATTTCTTTGTTTTAGTGTTATTAATAGTTTATCTGATAGTGCATATATAGCTTTTACCTCATGACTATTTTAGAAGATAAGCATAACAAAAAGGGTAACATTTTTTAAACAAATTCATGATATGGTTTGGTTTATTTGATAATAGCAAAGCACTCGAGTGCTATCTGCTTATGGGGAGGAATGTCTTTGCGGAGGACTTTCTAAGAGAAACTGCCTCATTTAATGTTACACATGGGGAAAGCCATGAAAATGACCATTCACAGGATTCAAGCCTTGAATCAAACTACCAGTGTTCCGTAACTTTAATGTTTGGGTGTTGGTGGATGGCCGTTCATGATACAAATGGTGATTCAGAGCATTAGATGGGAAGTGTCTGTATATTAACAAATTCATTAGGAGCCAAACTACCTTTTAGGACCTTGTATACTAAGGAGTCCAATATTTTCAGTTTGGTCAGATATGGAAACGTTAAACTTTTCATCTTGTATCACATTTCTTATATGTGTCAGATTCTGTTGAGCTGCTGCTCCACCAACAGCAAGATAAAATCCCTGACCTATAAATAAAAAAAAACCTAATTCATGAAAAAATATCAAGAAAAAGGAAAAAATTATAAAAATAGTGAAATTAAAATATGTAAAATACAGACTAAGAAGAATGAAAGAACAATACCTTCAAATTTTGGATGGCATACTGAATTATCACCAGATACCACAGAACTGACAGTAAGATCTGCCTCTGTTCCACCATATTTATTTAGCATACAGGTATATACAGTAGAACCTATGTAAATCTTATGTAAATTATTTCAAGTTTGCATAAAATATTATGAACTACACTGAATATGTGATAAATTAAAAAAATATGCTAGTTTCATATATATATAATAATACACTCGTACTATTACAAAATCTCCCAACCCTGACAAGAATCACCAGGCAAATTGCTACATCACTAAAGTAGGCAAGCCTGAATTTTATGAAACTGTATTTATATTGGCAACCTACTAATGGTTGTCAGGCATTACGCCAGTGCACAATGCCACCATCTATATCGATGGTGTTAGTAATGCGCATGACTTTGAGATTCAAGGGGCAGAGTGTTTTTGGTTTCCACTTGGTTTGATTAGTCTATGGAGCTTTTTTACTTGTAACAAAGTGTAATGCCACCTTGAATTTGCTTGCAAATGAAAAAGAAAGCATTGCATTTTTTCAGAAATATGACATTTTGTCTAGTAGTAGTGCATCAATGAGAATTTTATAAATTTGTCAATTCTCTGATTTTTAACTTTTTTTCTCAAAGTTAAAATACATCAGTGTTTACATGTAGAGCAGTGTCAGTTTGCTCTGCACTACCGAGAATTCTGCAATTCTTTGGTATTTTTTAAGTTAAAACAGTTCGCTGTGCATATGGACAGAAGACCAGGAAAAAGAAAATTAAGTGTTTTACTATGGATGCTTGCTGTGTTTTTAATATATTTAATTTGCTGCTGTTTTATATAATTTAGAGTGTTTTTATAATGGATGCTTATCTTATGTAATTTATAATGTTTTATATAGATGTTTCTTGCATTTTTAAGATCATTAATTCATTGCCCATTTATATGATTTTCAGCACACAGGTCTTTGTAAATGACAACACATTTTTACATGTTAGGTTGGCAAAACAATCGCCAACAACTGCTGATTTTATGGGTGGTTAGACAGATAATGAAAGAGTACCTGTGCATCTTAAAAATCAAGCTTTATTTGTATTTCATTGTCTTTGAATGTTTACCTGGAGGCTTTTCAACGTTATTTGTGAAAATCCAGTTTACAGCCTTTTGAGAATCAGGACCAGTCAAGAAAAATTTCCCAAAATATGACATGTTGAAAACAGCTGCATTTAACCTACATCCTAAGCATTCCTTTCCTATCTAGAAAGAAAAAAGTACATATGACAGCTAAGTTAAGCAATTTTAATTTGGTTTGGAATAAGAATTTGATTAATATTATCAAAATATTATCAAATAATTTTTTAAACTGAAGTAGTGCCACCAAATAAAATCAAACAGATTATAAAAATTGCCAACAATCAGAAAATGTCACCAAGTAAGGGATTATATCAGCAAAAGGTAGTTTTTTATTTCAGTCACCCATTCAAAAATTAAGCAAAAAAGCAACCTTAGATTGATTTAGATTTTAATTTGGTTTGGAATAAATTTTAACAACTGATAACCAATTTATTTCTACATATACAGTAGAAGTGGCTTAACCTGATAACTCTATCAATTTTGAGAAGAATCTCCTGAAGAAGAGGAACTTCTTCAGGAGCAAAACGATTTCTCTCCCTTGGTCCTTAAGAAAGAGAAAAGAAGAAAAGAAAAATCCCCTGAAAACATCTATGTCAAATTTAGATAGCTTTTTTTGCATAATTTAAAATTTTATATTTGTATGTTCTCTGACAAGGAATGAGGAATAGCCTCTGAGTATTAAGATTAGGGATACAGCATCAATCATATAATTTTTAAAAACGTTATGAACCGCCCATAGATGAACTATTGCTTTAAAGACATCGTGAACATATAAGTAATTAATTATATATAAATTTTGTATTTTCCTAATTCAAAATCTGTAAAACTGTTTATTGTATGTTTATTATTGTATTCATTTTAAATTAGTTAAATTACATAGCTGTTTAGAAGGATACTTTTTCTCAGTGCTTAATTTTATCAAAATAGCCATGGACAAACATGATCACATTAAGCAGTGCTTACTGTAAATGACTTTAACAGAATCAAAACTCAAAAGGCAAAAAAACATATATGAAAATTTCTATAGTATACTCACTATATTATGGTGTTTTGGAAAATTAAATGTATAATCTTCATTTAATCGCTTAGCATATGTATAATTTTCATGCTCTTCAATTCCATAACTTCCATAGTAGTCATATTCTAGAACCTAAACAAATATTAAAAGTAAAAGTAAAGATAACTGCAATTGTAAATAAACATTAACTTCAGTAAGTGTAGATAATGAAAATGTAAAATTTATATTAAGCATGACAAAAAGTAACACATACCAGTCATAATATAAAAGTAAAGAATAAATACTTAGAAGCATACAGGAGCAGGGCCATGAGGAGAAAACCATCCTGGTCTTTCAAATCCAAGCCTTTCTTGGTAAACACAACCAGCATTTAAGAGTTCCTAAAATTGCATAATGATCCAAAAATCACATATCCATACATCTATCTATATAATAATAACAATCAAGATATAATAATAATAATTTAGTGAAAGCTGGTAGTTTCCAATTTAAGAGGAAAAACGTACATCAAAATTCTAATAATAATAATAATAAATAGCTGAAAATTCTCTGGTCTTTTTCGTGAAGCAGCCAAAAAATTTTCAACAGAGCCAGGTTTCTGAATTATATCTGCAGGCTTATCAATTTATTATATAAATCAAAAATTTGTGTCAAATAAAAAACAAATTGAACAAATTTAAAATAATAATGTAAAGCTATATTTTTAATAAATAATACAGAATGTTATAACATAAAATATAATAATTATTTTAAACATTTAAAAAAATTAATAAATCATCAAGATATTATCTGCTCAAGTGTGATCCTAAACAAAAAATGCTGTATAAAATAGGAATTTTTGAAATTAGAAACCAGAAAAACAGTTGGTCAAAATTAAAAGCAATTAGCTAAACTAATATTTTCCAAAACTGCTACAAATTAAAAGTTATTAACTTTTAAATGTCAAGAATTAAAGAAATGAAATTAATATATTTTTACTGAAAAAGCTGAGTATTTTTATTGAGAAAAGTCGGCTATTAATCTAAAAAGTGAACTATTTCAACAGGCAATATGGTAGGAAAAAGTTAGGAAAAAGAATTAATTGTAACAGTACTTCCAAAGTCAAAAGTTCTAAATTAAGAAAAAGAATAAATGTAATAATAATAATCATAAGAAGAATATATAGATGTAGATATATATAGGGAATGGAATTAAGAAAATAAAAAAAATATAAATACTATCTACACCAAAGGAATAATAGTACTTTCACAGCAAAAAATATATTAAAATTAAATTATATTAAATACTATTATTACAACCTTTCAAAGTATTACAAAAATACAAAAGAAAAAGTTGAAAGCCAGTAAAAAAAAATTTAAACTTAAGCAAAAGTAGTCTAGTCTAAATGACCAAAATATTAGAACAGCCATATTGAATTATTTCTATTCTTGTCAATGGGAGGGACAAAATAATAAAATTTCCTGTTCTAATCAATTGATACGACAGGTCAATGCTTCTGCTATTATGCATTTTTACATATACAAATATGCATAGCCAAATATGTATAGTGAAGGACAGCTAAATCTGATCATGATAGCCACGAATTTTAAAGGTTGTTGGATATAGCAAAACAATGGTGAAATTTTCCAATTAACAGATTTTGTAGTGAAACGTGGAGAAGCGGTAATAAATGAAGATGATATAAAAGAAGTTTTTCATTGTGATGACAATGCTTCTCAATTAATAATCAATTAATGAATGGCGAAATCTGTAGTATGGTTTTAGATCCAGAAAATACGGCGAAAAAATCGGCGAAGTACCAACGATTCCGGACATTGTACTGAACCAGAAATTCGAATCAGAAGATGGAAGGGCATTCCGATGGCAGCTAATACTTCCATGATCCCAGATCCCGAACATCCTTAATGAACTACATAGCAGCCCTACAGGAGGCCATTTCGGAATAATGAAGACTTTGCAGCACTTCTACAGGAGTAAGGCAAAGGATGGCATGCAAAAGTTGTGCCAATCTTGCGATGCCTGTGAGGGTCGGAAAAGACCACAGAAGCACAGGCAGGGTAAGCTGCAACATTAGAATGTAGGAACACCTTTTGAACATATTGCCTTTGACATCTTAGGACCTCTGCCACGAACTTCTGATGGCAACAAATACATCCTCATTGTCATTGATTATTTCACCAAGTGGCCTGAAGCATATTGCATTTCTGATCAAGAGGCTGTCACAGTAGCAAAGGTAATGAATGATACAGCACTGGATTTCCAGGTTGAGTGCCTCTTCATTCCGATCAGGAAAGGAATTTTACCTCGGCTGTAATTAAAGAACTCTGCAAGATATTTGACATTGACAAAACCCAAATGACACCTTTACATCCTTAGTCGGATGGCATGTTAGAGAGGTTTAATCAAGGCCATACTTAATAACTGCTCATTGGTAGTTTCCAGAAACCAACAGGACTGAGATAAGAAGTTACTACTGTTTCTACTGGCTTACCTCAGAGCTGTCCACGAGTCTACAAGCTATACCCCATCTCAGATGCTCTCCGGTGGTGACCTTCATCTGCCTTGTGATCTCTTGTTTGGTCACCCTCCGAGTGCACCTTCATCGCATGAGGAATACGTCCAAGATCTTCAGGCCTGGTTTGAAGTGATGCACAATTTTGCATGAGAGCGAGTCAACTTGGTGACGGAGAAGATGAAGATTGATATGACAGCAGAGCTATTGAATGTCAATTCAACAAAGGAGTCAAGGTGTGGTTGTGGAATCCGACTCAATGGAAAGGGCTCTGTCCGAAACTGCAGTCAGCTTGGGATGGTTCATAAACAATCCTAAACTGGCTGAACGACGGTGTGGTTCAGATCCGTAAGTCATCGAACTCTAAACCTAAAGTCGTTCATTACAACAGATTAGCTCATTACTATGACCATAGTACATAGTGTTAATAATTGTAAATAGTGTAAGACCATAGTCCTTTTTATTTATAAATGTGTATTTGATTTGATTAGTATATGATCGTATTTGAATTGTTTTATTATTGCAGTTATTGTTTATGTTGTTTGTTATTGTAATGTAAGACTTACTATTGCATTGATGCTTTAATTTTAAGTTTGGCTTCCTGTCCAATGCAGTCCTTGGTAAGGGGGCAGTGTTACGGTTTTTGTATTTATTTAGTTATTTTTAGTAGAATTGTAATTAAAATTGTTTCATTTCCTCGTGCAATGCAGCATGTGATGAGTTTTAAGAGAAAGCTATGCCAAAAAAGTGAAAATAGAGGAGCATGTACATTTAATAATAGGTATCTGGTAATTGCTTTTGCTTTCCAGAAACCTCGAGAAAATAGAAATTACCAGAACCTTCCTGTGATTGATTAAAAAGCTTATAAAAGCCGGAGAAAAACACCTCAGTTAGTTGTTTACTTAGCTGTGCTAAATTTTGTTGAACGGATTAGCTTTCTCTGTGCTTTGGATTGCATTCTATTTAACATTTTAGTATAGCTATTGATTATATTGCGTCATATTGTGATATTATACGAATATCTCTGAGGAAAAAATTTCAGCAATTTGTTTTATTTCCTGTTATAAGAATAAATTTTATTAACTTTTTATCAGACTTGTGCATTCAATCTATTATGAACCCATACGCACGCAACAATATGTTGGATTATGGATATATTGTTTCTGTTTAACAAGTTTTTTGGACTCGATCCACTTAAATTGAAAATTCTTATTATTAGATTTTAAAATTTTTTGCTTATTCATAATTTTAATGCTATATATTTTTTTAATTTTAACCTGGACTATACGGTTTCAAAATTTACATATATTTTTATTTTTCCATGTATTGAATTGTTTATGTTTGCATGTCTTACTTTTTGGACTCAAAATAATATTTTTATGATTTTAAAATTTATTTATATTTTTATGATAATTTTGCAATTTTTTATATTACTTACTTTGACCTGTAGGGGTTGGACTGCTAATGACATAGATAATTTTGAGTGCTTTTCTGAAATTATTTTACATTTTAAACTTTAATTTGTGTCTGCTGGTTCGGAAACAGGATGATTTATTTACTTCTTTTGTTGCACCAACCCTCTGATGACGATGCAGTGAGAGGTGTAAATTTCTTTCTTTCTTTCTTTTTTTTTTTTTTTCCATATTTTGCCTCCTTTATTTCATACAAAATGTATTCATACACAAAAAATAATCTAAAAAATATTGCTAATAAAAAAAGGCTACTTCTATATCAATTTCAGTTTTAATAAACTGCTACCAATATAAATTCTACATTTGTAATAACTGTTATTTTCTTTAATGCATTTCATATATAAAATAATACCTTTTATAGCATCTTATTGACTGAAAAACTTTTAATTACATTTTTTTTGTGTGTATTATTCAATTTTCATAAAAAATAAAATGAGGTTGATGGAAGTTTTGCAACTAAAATTCAAAACTTAAAATGTTAGAACACATACAAATTACAAGTCATTTTATTTCCTACCAGTGGCCAAGTGGTTAAAGTCGCTGAACATTGGTAGTTTGGTTCGGGGTTCAAAACCCACAAATGGGGTGGCTGCACAGACATTTTCATTGTTTTGCCCCCGTGTATCATATATATGAGAGAGTTTCTCTAGGAAAGTCCTCACAAAGGCATCTCTTTTCTTAGGCAGATAGCTCTCGAGTGTTTTGCCAGAATCACATAAACCAAACCAAGTCATTTTATGCATTTTTCCTTTCTCCCCCTCCAAATTTTATTCAAACATAATATATATATTTTTCAATTTTGGTGCTTTTAAGAAGGTAGAAGCTTTTAAGATTCAAAATTTTAAAAAATACAAGAGCAGAAAAAAAATTGTTTTATGGCAAAAGAAATTGTTAATTTCATTTAAGAACAAAAATGAAATACTTGTATGATTCATATTTTAAAACATAAGTTAAATTTTTTAGAGAATTATGCTGTAATCAGAAGTTTTTGTATCTGAATTTCTCATCTGAAAGGACAATATTTTAGATGATATTACAAAAATTAATATGTTTTATTCAATATCAAAATAATTTCTTTGAGAGAAGGATGACTTTCCTAAAGTTAGTTTGTATGGACAAAACTGGTTTTGGACTAAATGATTCATTTTTCAAATCTATATATATATAAGTGAAATACCACTGACTCATTGTGAGATTTCTGACTATACACCCGTTTGACTTGAAATTTTGCATAGTTACTCATTCCATGATGTAGACATGCACTAAGAATGGATTTTATGTAAATTCTGCCCAAAATGGATTTTTGTTATACCATCACAGGCACTACCCCCTCTTCCTCCCCACCCCTCCAGGCATTTCCATCTCTCTCTCCCTTCCTTCACTTTCTTTCTCTCTTCTTTTCTAGAGAAATACTATGTTGATGCTACAATCTATACTACGATTGTTCATACCCAATAAAATAAGGACTCACCCTCAACCCACACTCACCCACACTTAGCAGCAGTTGCTATGGTAATCATTACCATTGTAAGATTTATTTAAATATCTATAAAGTTTCATTTCGTGTTTATTGAGTTGGTATGAGGGGTCAATTTTTATTTACAAATTTTATTATACGTTATTTGTGTTAGTATTTTTTGCTGAATTTTTAAATACAAGGGGTGATTCCAATCCAAAAAAAAAGGTTGGACAAAGGGGCAAATGAAAAACCTATTATTAACAATAGAAAAAAGGATTTTACAACTGGGACTCAAGAGGACATATCTGGGCCTTCACTTTTTCCACATTAGTCGCCAAAAACCTGTTTAGGCATTTGTTGGACCAACCATGGTTTATCCCATTCTTGGTTTAGCCGCCCCCCCCCCCCCCCCCCCCCCCCCCCCCTATCAGCCCCCCCCACCCTGCTCAATTCCCCCCCCACCCCCCCCCCCCCCCCCCCCCCCCCCCCCCCCCCCCCCCCCCCGATACCCCCCCCCACCCCCCCCCCCCCCCCCCCCACCCCCCCCCCCCCCGCCCACCGCCCCCCCCCCCCTCCCCCCCCCCCCCCCCCCCCCCTTTTTTTGCGCCCCCCCCCCCCCCCCCCACCCCCCCCCCCCCTTTCTCGGTATATCCCCCGACCAACCCCCCCCCCCCCCCCCCCACCCCCCCCCCCCCCCCCCCCCCCCCCCCCCCCCCCCCCCCCCCCCGCTGTTTTCACCTGCATCGTCCCCCTCCCCCCCCCCCGCCCCCACCCCCCCCCCCCCCCCCCCCCCCCCCACCCCCCCCCCCCCCCCCCCCCCCCCCCCCCCCCCCCCCCCCCACCCCCCCCCCCATCTCTCGCCACCTCCCCTCCCCCCCCCCCCCGCCCCCCACCCCCCCCCCCCCCCCCCACCGCCCCCCACACCCCCCCCCCCCCCCCCCCCCCCCCCCCCCCCCCCCCCCCCCCCCCCCCCCCCCCCCCCCCCCCCCCCTGGAGGTGAACTGTGGTTCCGGAATATATTTAATATTGTGTCCAAAACGCCGGAAAATGAATAGTCACTTGGAGCCAAATCAGGGCTGTATGGGGGGTGATTCAAACTCCACTGAACCTTTGCAGCAATTCCTGAGTCTGTGAGCTGAGATGGGGCCTGGCATTGTCATGCGAAGAAGGACACCTTTTGCTAAGTAATCCAGGCCATTGCGTGATGGCTTTACGCAATTTCGTTAAGTGGCACAATACGATCGGCCTTAATGGTATGGCCCGCTCCAATACTCGATTAGATAACACCATTCGTTACCAGAAAAGGGTTCCATCACTTTACCGGCAGGGGTGGCACTTAAAAATTCTTTCCTTTCTCTCTGTGATCCACTGTTTCACTTCATCGGGCTCTTTTGATGGGGGATTAGTGATGAAGGCATTTTCATCACCAGACGATGCGATCAATAATGTGGTCCGTTTGAATGGTATCACGAGATATGAGGCTGCAATCATCGAGGGCCTTATGCTCCACGGACAACATACGTGGAACCCAGCAGACACAAACTTTGGAATATCGCAACTCATCGGTTACGATACGCTGAACGTTACCATAACTTAGGTCAAACTCTGAGGCAATCTCAGGCACGGTTATTCATCGATCCCTTTGGATGATTTCTTCAACATGTGCCGTGTTGATTCGTTTCCATATTGCAGTTTTCCACGTGCTCCCTGCCCGTTTGATAAGAACAACACCATTTTTCTACCTGTTGTCTACTCATTGCTTTGTTCCTGTATACCTCAACAATTTGTTTGTGAATTTTGGATGCGGCCACATTCTTGGCCCATAAGAATTGGATTACGGCTCACACCTCTATGCGAGACCACTTTTCTAGATGTCATGCCATTACTGTCACTCTTAAGTGTCAGTGTACTGAAGCTAATTACTCGTAGAACCGCTGTAGGACAACTAGCACCATTTGACAATCACCCTGGGTGGAAATATTCACTCCACAATTATTACGTTTCAAATGCTTCTGCTTGTAAACTTTTTTTTGGATCAACCTACGTAATTTAATTTTAAAAAAAATTTGGTTATATTTTTTAACTTAAATTGTATTTATTTTTAGGTTAATATTCAACTAACTTTTCATATATATTTTTCAGGATGGAAGGATGGATATCAAATATATTTTGATAGACGGAATACCTACTCCTTTTAAAATTTTTAGAATTCTTGGTGACAGAGCATGTTTCTTTTTGTCTCTGTCTTTGCTGGAGTATGGTGACATATCAATGGCATATGAATTGAGAATTATTATTGTTTCTCACATGTTTAAAAACTGGAATTGATTTAAATGCTACACTCATGCTATCTGACATTCCTTATGATACTGAAGATTTATACTTTACTGAAATGCGTAAGCCAAACACATATGGATCTATATGTGAAATTATGATGGCTGCCGAGCTATACAATTAATTATAATTGTATAATTTTAAACAAATAATTATAATTGATTAAAAATTTGATTTAATACATTAAAAATGAACAAATATTTAAAAAATTCTCAAAATATGTTCTTATTTTATGTTGACGATTTTTCATGGTATAGGCCTACTGGGGATCCCGCCATGTTAAGTAATGGGGACGCATCCCAATACACAGTACCGCATGGGTGATGTGGAAATCTGTGTATGACAGATTCACTAACGGGTACTATAATTCCCGACTTAAAATTAAAAAAATTTACTTTAATTATCAATTTGAAATTAGACATTTCATCCATATAAGAAGTCTAGGTTCACATTCAAATAAATAGTGTGCCCAGCAAATCGAGCAGGTATCAACTTGTCATATAATAATAAATTTAAAAATTTAACTATAATGAAATAATCTTTATAAATTTCAAATAATTACTAACATTATGGAAAGCATCTTTTCTCATGTTACGTGAAGCAAGTGGCTCATCATGAGGATAAACTATAGAATAATTCTTCACATAAGATTCATGACTTCGCTCTTTGATCCATTTTTTATTATCTGTCATGTTTTCATAAAAGCGCCTACGAAAAAGAAAATAAATAGACTGTTTTAAATAATGTGAAGCACCAACAATCTGCTTGGTTTCAAAATAAATGAAAAAATTGGGCAATTCAAATAACTTCATATAAATTCATATAAAAATAGTTACTATTACAATAAAATGGAAAGTATGCACAAAGCAAACATTTTTACACTGCACATGTAAACATATATATATTATAATGAAGTGAACTTATATTTTTTATTTGTTCAATGGCAATTCTTTTTCTAATCTTTTTATAAATAATTGCTTAGCACATTGCTTTTGATTTAACCAATGGTCTTTCAAGTTTCTTAACTGAAAATTTAATTAATACTTATTTAGGATTTGTTTAGCATATTGTTTTTGATTTATCTAATGGTTTTTCTAATTTCTTACTCCAGAAACCCTTACAATTTTTATTTTGGGGCCATGTCGGAGTAGGTTATATCTTGATGATTAACTTAATTCTAATAATATTAAAAATTTACTTTGTTAAATTTTTAATACACTTTGATTTTTTCATTTTAGTTAAATTACCTCAAATGGCCTTTTTCTTGTTAGTTTTTCTTTTAAAACTATTTTCAAATTTTAACAATTAACTAAATATAATTCGGAAATGTGGCTCTGGTGAAAAGCTAACTAAATATAATTCAGAAATGTGGCTCTTGAAAAGACCAAGTGTTAGAATAAATTGCATAATGAAACTGGAAAGTGGAAATCAAACATGCACCAAGCTATATATTGGCAAGAGAGGATTCTATCTGTGGCTATCTAAAGCCAGAGTATAAGTCACTCATTTCTGTTTTCTCTTTCAGCTATGTTACGTTCAATCTTGGGATATACTCCTGTACCTACTGCCCAACAGGTAAATCTAAAGATACTTAAGACTGATGACTGACAAAATCTGACTGATCTGTTATAAGTTCTTTTTCAACAACTTCAATTTTAAATGCATGTGAAGATTATTAAATTAATTCTATTTAAGTTAAGCAAATCTCTCTGATTTATTAACTCTTTCGCATCAAGAGAGGACCAAATCTGTTTTCCTCAAACATCGAAAATGCCCGTGTGTAGAAATTTCTCTTGAGATAATTTTCCTTTCCCCATGACAAGTAGAATGCTACAGAGCTAATACTAATCTACATAAGTAAAGAGACTTCTTCCTTGGACACTTTCACCACTGTGTGCAGTTTCCCCTTGGGACAGGATTGCAACTTCGGGCATCAATAACTAAACATTGACAGTAAATAAAGGAAAAAGAAGATGCATTAAAAATAACAGAACTACTTTTAGTTGTTTTAAAAGGATGATTGGCATGTCATTTAACAACTCCTTGAAGCAATGATCAATACACTAACATTATTGGGGGAAAGCACCAGGTGGAAAATGGTTCAGGCATTCAGGCAACCTGCCAATGTCTGAATGGTCAGCATTTTGGGCGACTTTGATGCGAAAGAGTTAAACAATGATTTCATAGTTGTTTTGACTAGTTGATAGAGAATGTAGTGAACGCACAATGCCTTAGCTGTGTTAATATACAACACATCACCAAGGAATTTCGAACAATTTTTTATATTTTCTATCAGTTTTATTAATTTTATTGATCTGCTTTTGTTTCAGTTTTGAAATATTTTTGTTTTTATTTTGATATGTGTATTTTCCATTAGAAGGTTTCCTCCGTGTGTAAGATAAAAAAATTTAAATAAAAATTTTAACATTTATTAATCAGCAGTCTTTTAATACTATCTAATTTGGTTATTTCCCTTGTTTTGTCTTAAAAATAACTGCTTATAATAAAATGCTTTAAACTGCATTCATTTCAAAATTAATCCTTCTCTTATAGTTCTTAACACTTATCACACAGGTAATTATATACTGCTTCAGCCAATAATATTTTCATATCTGTAAATCATAAATTTAAATTAACCAATCAAATTAAAGCTAAACAAAACTAAATTTTTCTGAATGTGGATTTCGATCTTGGACACATTGCACTCTTTCACTTGCTTCTTTGCTGTGAACTTGCTTGCTTTGTGCTGCCCTTTTCTCCATTAATGTTACACAGAAGTAGAAAAGCCACTAATGTGGCCAAAATGAGGTGCACAGATTATGCCCATTACAATGTGTAATTCACATTTAAAATAGGCTTAATCGTAGTTTGATATAGGTTTGAAGGCCCCCTACAGCTATTATCTTTTATACATCAAGCTTCATCACTCAGTAAGTCATGTTATCAGCTTCATCACAAACTTTTAAATGACTACATATATATAAATAATTTTATTGATTAAAGAGTTTTTACATGGATACAAAACAGTCAATTTCATGTTTTTTTTAAATGCCAAATAATGTTAAAAAAAATTTTTTTCGTGTTTCTAATCCATGAAATGATTAATTAGCCAGATCATCAACATTTGATTTCAAGAGATCATGATTACTGAAATAAAATTATTTTTCATCTAGAAAAATGTATGCCATGAAAAATAAATGATGATAATTTACATCAATAGTATAAAAATTTTAAATGTGAAGATAACAGAACTTATTATCTTCATATTTTATAATTGTTCATATTTGTCTACTTTACATTTCTGAGTATTTTACTATTGGCATTCCTAAAATATAACATGTACAGTGGTGTGCAAATTAGTCTGAGCAAAAGATTATTTTTAACCATCTGTGAATGGCTGCTGCATATGTATGGCAGACCTTCCACAGAACTGCATTAAGCAAAACTCCTGTCTTGTCTGCAAATGATGAAATTTCACGTTCCATGAATAACACAGTTTAATTCTCAATTTTCATTCCAGTTTATGTCATTTCATAATTGTGATTATTCTGCATGCTGTTTTGAATTTTTAATCCTAAATTTTGGTTCCATCAAGCATCTTTGTTATTTCCTATTAGTCAAATTTTGATCTTTTAGAGTGTTTATTTCTTTCAATTTTTGCAATGGATATCACTCCAAGAATGAGCACTAAAGTCATTAAGATAAGTCAACATACTTCTATCTCTCCCCCCCCCAAAAAAAAAAATGTAAAGCACACCATTGCATAGGAATTAATCTAAATATGTGGCAGAAGGGATTAAACTACTAGTAAAGAAGAGACGTTACTATCTTGATGAGAAAGCCAAAAGAAAATTCATGGCTATCCAGTTTTGACACTGGCTCATTTTGAAGATCACGTGCATGCTTTTACAAATCAGTAAACAGTTCTTGAAGCTGGCCATTGCGTCACAAAAAGCAACTTTTAGATTAATAAAAATGAGTCAATTTGTAGGAAAAAATATTCAATATGAAAATTTAAAAATTTGAAAAAATATCCTTACTCAAACAAAAGTGTTCTGGCATTGATTTTCAATCACTGATACACGGCCCATTATTTCTGTCATTTGGTGCAGTGAGTTTTAATATATATATATATATATATATATATGTATGTGTGTATATGTATGTATGTATGTCTACGAAAATTACAGAGAATAGAATACAAAATTACAGTCTGATGGAAATGGCATTTACATTAAAATCTTGCGTCATACCACAGCTCCAAGAATTTTGGAGATGTTTCCCAAATTATCAAAAACATATCCTTGAATGGTCAGGAAACTTACTAACCTCAACTCAATCATAAATCATCGGTGTCATGAAAGAAAAGCTGGAAACAAAGGGCAATATTTAATAAATTTCTCAACTTCCAATATTGTCAAAGTAGACTTGTTCTGATGTTACTGTCAGACAGATGAGATAATCCACAACATCTCAATTCATGCATGGGGTTCTATATTTTACCAAAGGTGTCAAATAAAAAAATATATATGTTCCAGTATAACTACTAAGGGATCTAACAGTTATAATTAGGTACCATTGTAAATATTATACCAGAAAGATAGAAAAACAACTATAAATATGAAATAAAACCTAAATTTTAATAGACTATATTATAAAATTAATTTAAAAGCTTTATAAAGTAGATTAGTTCAATATTTTTTTAGTCACTTTTACAGTTCTTTAACAAAAAAATTTGGAAAATACAATTTATAACAAACCTTTAAGAAATAAGACCAATCATGAGAAAGCAATCCAAGTACTTTGAAGTTAATATTAAGCATTACCAAAACAATTAATTTCAAATTAAAAATACCTAATATCATATCCATACATATCCAGTTCAGGTCTTCCCTTGATTACCCACTTTGCTAATTCTCGACCACAGCCTCCGCCAGCATTCATACCCAAACTGTTGAAGCCGCATCCATGATAAAAGCCACGAACGATAGGATCTTCTCCAAGAAGAGGCTTATGATCAGGAGTAAAAGATTCTAAAAAAATATTTTAAGCAATTTTAATAAAATACTACATAATCATTTTACAGTAAAAGTATATAGTACTGTGGACATTAAAAACTTTCAATCAGTAATAACCACATGAAATTTATTCCATAAATTTTACAGCTAATAATCAAATTTATATCGAAAAATAAGCACAGAACAATACAAAACAAGTAAAAGGAAATAATTTCATCCTTCATTTAGATTCAACCATAATTTCCAGCATTGGTTTTATTAAAGGCAGAAATATCAAAAACTTATGAACATATACTTTATAATGATTTACTGCTTTATAAAATAATAATTAATGCATCTATAAATATTAATTTATATAATAATTATATGTACAAATTATTCTACTGATGCATTAATATTATTTTATAGATACATTTATATTCAGTTAGTATTTTATTACAGATTTAAGAGTATAAAAGGAATTGATTTTTCAAACTGCAGTGGACTTTTTCAAAACTTTTATTATTAAAGTCTAGCACAATTTGAAAAATATCTTGCAAGATTTATGTTGTCAAAAAAATATTTTTTAATTTTAAAATGTGCACAGTAATACAGACCTAATGTTACCTTTAGAACAAAGAAAATTATATCACTCTATTCTTCAAAATAGAGTGAGTGGATTTTTTAACTTTTTTATGAAATAAATAATGTATGCATAATGAATATATGCATAATAAATAATGTATGCATAATGAAGTCATTGAAAAGAAATACCTTTATCATAAGAACATATTACTTCAAAATTATTACATACATTGGAGCAATTCATAGTTAAACCAGATGAGGAAGGATGTGAAAAACATGAGGTAAAGATGTGAAAGATATATTTGCTAATGTCAGGGAATAATGTGAAATAAGAAGGGGAAAGGGATAAATATGCTTCAACTAAGTAAATACAAACTTACTCAGCACTGACAGAATTATGCCAAAAGAAGCAGTCTTGCAGTTTCAGTCCAATATACTTATTTTGTGAAAGAAAAGTTAAAAATATTACAAATAAGAACAAACATAATTCTCTTCCCGTATAGGAAATAAATCTGCCATGTAGAAATTATAACTCCACTTAGAATGAAATTTAATCAAATTTTGACGTTTCAAATGCCATAACTGGAACAATTTCTGGAACCTATTAAGGTAAGAAGAAAGCTTCAGTTTTTAGCATTTGAACAATTTTGTTATGGTTAGTAATTTTTGAGTAACATATTTCTATAATCCTGTTAGTCTATGTTCTTCTCCAGTGACCTCTATTTTTTTTTTTAATTTAAAAAAAATTTTTCCCTATCTAATGGGATCTGAATGAAATATTACAATACACATTTCCATAAAAAAGTGCTTAAGCATAATGTTTGAGCACTTTTTATAACAGATTTAAAAGAAATATAAGATGTTTAATTTAAAACAGAACTAATTTATGACACACACACTGAAAACCCTGTAAAACATATACAGATGTGTGATCTACAGCTTAAACAAGCAACCCGTTTTTGAATTCAATAACATGCATACAAAAAAATGCTGTGAATTTCAATCAATACAGATCTGCTAATTTAAAAAAATTAGAATTGAAACTTATTCTGAAATTAAGGCACATGTAATAAAATCATTATAAAAACCCTCTTTTCATGTCTTCTTAAAACTGTGAAAGTACATAATTTCAATGAGATAAAAAATATATAGCAAAATTCTAATTTAAATTGGCAATAGTCCCTTTTATTCTTCATTTTAATTTATGTACTTTTCTTTTCTGTCTTAAAAATAGTAACTATTTATAACATATCAATCTAAACTGCATCATTTCAAAATTAATCTGCATCATAAGATCTTATGAATTGTTGCAATGCAGATACCTCTTATCCAATCACAGAATAAGATTTTTATTGAAACCTAAACCTTTTTTTTTATCTCTCCCACACTTCTCTTGAATGCATCATGAACTGTCCCATGTACCTGCATCAAAGTAACATGTTGTTGTTCACTTCTTTACTTTTTTGTATTGCCCATTGCTTGAAGACGCGCTAAGCTATCAAAAATGTGGGATGCATATTGTGTCCGCAATGATGTGAATCAGATTATACATTTTAAGAATTAGCTTTATAATGATAAAAGCATTTTGAATCTACAGCTACTTCTGTCTACAAGTATCAACATTCTATCTATGTAACAAACCTTTCTCCAATCTATTATATATATACATATACTATACGTGTGTGTGATAATTTACAGGTTAGCAGTCATTACATTGATAGCATTTAGTGCAGAGCTGATTAGAGCAGATGAAACTAAGTCACCTTTTAATCATGGCCAAGAAAAAACTGTTGTGTAGATATGACTGGAGCAAAAATTACAACTCGTGTTTGACTACTTTTCATTTGTTGATTATTAAAACATCACTTATATTGAACAGGAAGAATTATTCAATGATACAGTTCTGCTTAAACGGGTACAGCATTAGGGATGCTACATGAACTCCTAAATTCTAAATATGCAGTTTACATTTTAGATGATAGAAAAAGAAGCTTAGGGAAGAGACGTGACTTTCCTTGACAGAGAAAGCAAGCAAATAATGTGTTAAAACTGCAGTAGTATTTAAGCCAGGAAAGTCTTTGTTTTAAACCTGAGAAGTGACTGGAAGTTTTTCACAATGCAGAGAAATTGCAGGGAAAGAGTGACATGCTGTATGGTGACACAAAATGGTGCAAAACATATTCATGAAGAAGGGATGAGTTTAATTAATTTTGTTTTAAAGGTCTGTTGACAATTGGTTCCAATTAAGTTTCATAATTTTGTTTCATATTTTATATCTTACATATATTACTATTATTAGTACATTTACAGCATAATATTATACATTATTATTTAGTTGTGTAACTTAATGTAAAAAATCATACACATATAAAAATAAATACATTAATACTCTACTTATTTTTGATATTAAAGCATAAATATAGACATTTTAAAATACAGAATCTGCCTTAAAAAAATTCCCCCTTATTTTTAGGAGAAGAATTTTTTCTCCTTTATTTTTAGAGGAAGAAACCAAAACATAATTAAAATTTAAGCAATGGAGTCTTTAACAAATATATGTTAACATCTAATTTGGATTGCATTGTTAAATGAAATTAATTTATAGAAAATTATGAATTAAAGAAATAACTGATTTTCTTGCATAAAAACAAACAAAAAGAAGCCTCTTATAATATATAAAATGTTTAAAAAGCCTCTTTGACAAGAGTATTTTAAATATTATTTTTATACTTAGATATATCCATTCTATCCCTATTGCACTTAAAACATATTCTGATTTAGCACACCACAAATAGCAATCTTAATTTCAATTACCTGGCCCACAGACAGTTGATTTAATGCCAGTGAATTCTAGTGCAGGAAGTCTGTGGATTGATTTTTCTATATGAGTGCCAAACACATTCCAGTCCAGTTCAAAGAGCCCAAATGCAAAATTCTTTTCTACCTATACATTACATTTTAGAATAAAATTTAAAATACAGGTAAAGAGGTAAGCTATATTTATAATCAATATAAAAACTTACAGAAGTATCATGTTTCCTCGCACATCCCCCCCCCACCTTTTTAGCACTAGATTTTGGAAATTTTAAAAATACAAGCTTAATTTTTACCTTTCTCTATTGTATACAGTTTTTCCCTCTAAGATCCATTTACTTGTAAATTGTATTCCCTTGATCAGTTTTATTTTTAACTAGAGCCTTCACTTTGTATTTGCATTTTTGAAATAGCATTTTATCTGTTTTAGTTTCCTTTGCATTTATAATTTGAAATGTAGTATTTTGTGCAGATTCTTTGTTCAGCTGCCTAGATGTGGCAGGTGTTCTAACACTTAAGGAGCTTTCTAAGCACCATATTTCACCATACTTTTATCGTTTATGTTCCAGCTCATTGTAGACTGATGATGTGTTCAATCTTTCAAAATCCAGGTCTTTTGTTTCCCTCCTCCATTGTCCCTCTTGGGAGCTGCAGTCAAAATTCATTCATGAGATATCCATCAGATATCGGCTTGGTGCCACAGATCCTTAAAAACTAGTTAAGTGATGTTTAATCATGCAAACTTGTTTTTTTTAAACACCTTGTCATAAGTGACTTCTTATAATATATAAAATATCTATATTATAAGAATATCTTCTTCTTCAATACAGAGAACAGACTTTTTAGTATATACATTAGAAGAATATATCTGACTCATTGATAAAGAAAAATATACCACATGGCTGCATACATTCAAAATATTCCTTCAAGCATAATGCGAGGGAATGATTGGAAAAATATGGGGCAACAAAAGGTTAAAATGAAATGAACTCAGATCCAGGGCCGCCACCAAAGTCGATGCTACTGCCACCGAAGGGCAGAATTTAAGGGCAGAATAAATTTTAGCATTAAGTGAAGATCCAGCAGCAAAATTTAGGATGGCAAAATTTTTAGAATTTAGGGACTGAACTGGCCAGCAGAATTTAGGTGCAGCAAAACTTTTAGAATTTATGGAAGCACCGAGCAGCAGAATTTAGAACCTGCGAATATCGCAATCAGGCGGCAAGATTCCTAGCACCTATGCTCACATCATATACTAAAAGCATTGCTATGTACTTTTCATTCGGATCTACAGTACTCGTAGAATATACTAATTTCATTTCTATATAGAACACTACATAAGTAACTATAAACATTTCATAATAAACTAGATAACACGATATATATTTATAGCCTAGCCGAATAATTATACAATTTCTTTATTAAAATCCTGTACCGAGTAATCTGCTTTTAATTTACATGGAAAGTAATAATCAGAAAATACCCTGGCAGATGTACCACAATGTGTACTAAAATCAAGAGGTCAATTGCGAAGTAGTAACATTAATTTTAACTGATGAGAAGTATTGTATTTCCACGCATATGCTCTGTAATATTTTAGCGCTAGGTTCTGAAAATTTTTTAAATATTTGCATAATTTTCCCCTTCCTCTATTGTACACTTTTCTCTGAGAGCTAGATTATTGGTAAAACATTTATTATCTGAAACGTATTTTGCGCAGATTCTTTAAACTAATCGGACATGGCAGGTGTTCTCGCAAATACTTTCCAAACATGTGATTTCACCTTACTTCTGTTATTTACATTCCATCTAAATACAGTCTTATCTACTGCTGATGTAGTGGACCTTTTGAAATCAGAGTATTTTGATTTCTCCCTTGTTCTTCGTTCCTTCAATGTCTCTCTTAGGAAACTGTGATTAAGACTCATTCATCTGAGGGTGCCCCTGAGGCTTTACAAGGTAAATGAGAAACTGCATGAGGTGTCTGGCTCCAGGGTTCATACACATTTCTGCACACGGAAATTAAGTACTTTTAAGGACCATTAAGAACAGTTTAATAACAGAATTCACATCCCCAAAAGCGAAAAGTAGTCTCTTTATTAGAAAAAATGAATTTCGAAATGCTTATGTTTCACTTCTTGCTCAGAAACTGGAGTATCCTATCATTTATATTAGAAATAGAAACAAATTACAATCCATGAACCTAATCAAAAGATAACCATATATGTCATTGAATCTCCAAAAATATTCTTCCAAAATGCTAATTCACACTCAAAAATGGCAGTTGTAAAAACAGACAGAAATTTCAAATGATTAAAATTAAGGACCTTCTGCTGAGTTTGGTCAAAATTACGGACTTTTAACTTTCTGAAGACAGCTGGTACAGCAGTTGTACCAGGAGAATGACTTTCTCAGACGCTGGCATTGGTACAACTGTCGTATCATCCATGCCCTCCCCATTTTAGAGAATCGCCTATCTGTAGATCTCTGGTTGGTCCATTGTCGCTGCTCAGAGTAGTCGCTGGCTATGCATTATTTCCCTCTTCTTATCAGTTTGGCTACATTTTGGCAAAAACCGCAGGTTTCGTCTCGCGCCAATATACTTGAAAATCAAATAGAGGCCATCTCTTTCTCAATCTGTCTCATAATTTTAATGCTAATTTTTTTAGTACTGACTTTTGCTATGATTAAAACGTCAGCGATTTTGCACGCTCTTTAAGCTTACCATATTTAATGTTTTTTAATCATAACAAATAAGAATAGATTAATATTTTAGATTTAATGCCCTTCTAGAAAATAGGTAAAACCGCTTTATCGTTTACTTCCTTTTCATACTTATGAATAATAAGATTTTATTTTGACATTGTTTTTGTGGAGTGCATAAACCCCTTAAGAACTGTTAACTCTTTCAAAGTGCTTCTATTATGTAGGCAATTTTGTCTGATTTATCAGGAGATAAATAAGAGACAATTGTATGCATAATAGTTTTTGTGATTTTCATTCATTCAGTGATTGCTTTCAATGATTTTCATTGATTGTAAATTAAATAAAATCAATTTATCTTTAGACCCTCTTTTAGGATGAGATCTGCCAAAAAAGTATTTAAATATCAGTAAAGCTCACGTTACTTCTAAATTGAATCAAAACATCAGTTACCATTGTATAAAATTTCGGCCAGTTTTATTTGCTGAAATTCTTATACTCCTCAAGAGATAAAGGGAATTCAAACAAGTTAATAAAAAAATATCTTTAAAAAAGATTGTTATTTTGTCTGTAATAAGATGTATGTCAACTTACTATTAAATGTATGAAAATTAGGATTGGATTACGGAAAAGCACGCGAATGCTATCTGCTTAAGGGGATGGATGCTTTCGTGTAAACCTTTTTAAGAGAAAATTGCTCGCATTTACGTTCCTGGTGGAAAACTCCACATGTAATCAACCCGTTCTTCGGGTTTGATTGGATTAATTTTGTTCACTTACTGAATTACATCAAAGCACACAACAATTACCTGTATAAGGGGAGTTATGCCTTCGCGGAGGACTTTCTAAGAGAAGCTGGCTTGCATTTATGTTACACAAAAACCGTGAATCCAACTATTTAGCTGGGATTCAAACCCAAATGAGCTACAGGTGTTCAGCCACCTTTACCGCTCTACTGAAGAGCCCGTAAAAATATTGATAAAGGAAAAGTATTGAAATAACCAGTTTAATTTACTAACCTACATTTCTCAATCGACAGTACATAAATTATGCATATGAGGGGGATTATTTGTGAATAAATAAACTGTATTGCACTTTTCTCCACTATTTCATATTAGGATGGAATTATTGCATTTCAAAGTTATTTCTCATGAATTAATTTTGCTCCGTTCATGATTTTTGATATTTTCAAAGAGAAAATTCCACACTTTAAATAAAAAAATACATGAAAAGATACTTTATGCAAAATTTGGCATAAATAGTTTTCTTAATTTTGCTTTGAAAATATTCCAGGGTAATCATTTTCATTACTGGAAGAAATATGAAAAACAGATTTACTACATTGTGTCAACACCCAGTATGTCCTTATTCTTTTGAAAACGTGAAAGATTACTTTTTCTAAAATAAATTAGAAAATATATTATGTGCAAATAGAATATTCGTTGAAAATGAAATAGACTTCAACCTTTGGATATAACGATGGTTTAGACGAAATTTCTACCTATGAAAGGAAATTGACGTATAATTAATTCTTCAGGAACATTTAAAACTGTTCTCAAAATTCTTTTGATGATTGCATGTATAGGTCACGGATTTTTTTCTCTGCTAACATAAACAAAAGTCCAATTTTACAAAGAAAAATTCTCGTTAAAGATATACCTTCTTTGCCTGATAGTCCCAATGTAATATTTGTTAAAATTAAATGATTAAATGCAACCAATGTATCTCGGATTTTGATTTTTTATATTATAATAACAAAATTATCGAAAAAAAAAGCAGATTTAAATCTCTGTTATTGTTATGTAAAGCTTTATTATTGCTGTAAGTTCATCTCAAAATCTAATTGCATTGAATCTCATTCTAATCATCTAATGGTAATAATATTTATTATTATTATTTCATTAAATTAGTCATTACCATTACTTTATTAATGAAAATATGTTATTAAAAATCGCATTCCAGCCTGCAGACTTATAAATCTAGTCCGTATTTACTATATTTTGTTAAATTTTGTTCTCGCTTTCTAATTTCTAATACGAAAATATGCGAATATAAATGAAGAGTGAAAACAAAGTTAAAAAATTCATAAATTATTTACGAGATTGATTAGAAATAGTGAGTGAAATATAAACATTGCATACATTTTGTTGTAAATAAATTGTGCACTGGATATGCATCCAGTACTGCATATTTATTTATGCACTATTTATTTAAAACTTCATTTAAATGAAAGCAAAATAATCATAAAAAAATTGCAAATCTAGCAACCCCTCTACTATGGGACGTAAGCGTCCGACAAACATGTAAATTTTACTTCATCCATGGAGGGGGACTAACGACTTTTCTCATTAGGAAAATGTCAAAGAGGGGACAAAACTGTTTCAGATCGCGCCAGTCTGAAGGCTATATTATGAGAATTTCGGCCCAGTTTTAGTAGGTTAAGGACCAAAAATCGATTCCAAAAAATCTAAGGACTTTTAAGGACTCTTAAGGACCGTACGAACCCTGGCATTCAATGACCGTCAGATACCGGCTCAATATCCTTCAGATAGTATAATATTAATACTATTATCTATTCTTATCAGAATTTAGATTTCTTTTGAAGAAATAATATTGTGATAATTACCAGTAATTTATCCATGACTGCTTTTCATTTGTTATGTTCTTACTGTAACTGTGTTCTTCAGAAATAGATTACTCACATTTTTCCTTCTCAATTTTCAAATAATAAAATTAGTTTAAAAAAAGGAGGGGAAAATATGCAAGGGAATAATAATATGATAGTTTGAGAAGAAATTACCTTTGTTTTAAACCTAGAAAGAAACATTCATAATAAGCATCTGCAATCAATTTCAAAATTTTGAAATCATATTTACAAAAACATTAAATATACATACATTTTCCCAGAATATAGGATTAGTTTCATAACCACCAACTGAAAGTGCATCCCCTTGCAAACGTAAATATATAGAGAGATCATGATCTCGAACATTTGGCATATTTTGTACACCTTCTATTCGATTTGTGACAACATATGCATGTTTCATAGCAATTAAGGGAACTTTTACTCCAGCCATTTGTCCAATGTATGGAGCCCAAATTCCTGAAAATTAAACAGAATGGAAATTATTAAACATTCACACATTTTAATATCAAATAATACACAAACTACAGTAAAACACATTTATGCATAAAATGTTAATGAAAAACACATTAAAATTTCTCTGCCCAAAATAATTAGAACTTCAGATTTACCTCCATAAAATAGAAAAAAGAAAGAAATACATAATACATACAAGAAATTTCAAGTATAACTAAGTTCTTTTAAAACAAACACCAAAATTATAAACGAACACTATGCAATTACATCTTTGATTTTATTTGTTTGAGAGAATTACATTTAAATGTTGTGAAAAAAGTTGTTTAAATTTTGCAGCATTCAGACCTAGGTGGATGACTGTAGCTTCTTTCATTTATTTTCATCTTATTTACACAGACATGGGATTGATGATACAGATTTTCCACAAAAGCATTCAGTTTTTTTTTCTTTTTTTAATATAAAGCTACCATTAAATCTTAAGTTGAATATTAACTCATTTTAAAACTAGTCTGCAGTGTTTCTCTTCTATTTATTATTATAAAATATAAATAAATCTGAAGTTCAAATTATTGTAATTCAAATTTTCTAATATTACTGATTTCATAGCATTATTTATTTTGGGGTCATAGTTACAATACTTCTTGGACAATGAAATATAAGTTTTATAAAAATATTTGAAAAGTAAGTCAAACATCCAGAACGTATCAAATTTTCACAAAATATACAGAAACTTTTCTGTCATAAAATGTAAGTAAATTTAACATTCACCTTTAATCAAATAAGTTTTTTAGAATATTAAATTGCTTAACAATAAAACTGGTTAATACAGTGGTACATTGATATACGAGTACCCTAATATACGAGTGTTTTGAGATACGAGCCACCGAGTGAATGATATTTTGCTTTGAGATCAGAGCAAGATTTGAGATACGAGGAATCACACACTACACCTCTGCACACGACCTCAACATGCGCGTGCTTGTTGGTGTTGTGTGCAGCGTCTAACACTTTCTCCCACCTCAGACTAGACCAAAGTCTGTGTGCTTGTTTCCCTCGTTTTGGAAATAGACCCCAAAGTGTCAGTGGCAGAGGAGATTGTTTCTCTGGGAAAATCCATGGGTCTGGAGGTGGATGAGAGAGATGTGAATGAACTCGTCGAGGAACAGTCTCGGGAGCTAACAACCAAGGCGTTACATGATCTACATTCGCAGCAGCATACGGTGGTTCAACGAAAAATTAGTTTTGAAGAGGAGCCCAGAGAATGGAGGAGAGTTATCCCTACAAGACAGATATAAAGGATATCTTGAGGAATGTGGGAGAAAGATGTAGGGTTCATGGATAAAAATCACCCCAAAAACGTTGCAACTGATCGTGCATCGGAGTTGTTCAACGAAACTTGCCTAACTCATTTCCGCAATATCCTGAAAGGGAGGAAGAAACAAACCTCCTTTGGACAGTTTTTTTAAATGATCTGCATGTGAAAATGAGCAAAGCGTGACGAAAATTAAACGTTTCCGTAAGCACTTCACTTTTTCTTTTAACTATGTATGTTTTTATAGAATATGTATTTGTTATTTATAAATAAATGTTTCTTCTTGTAAATACATTTTTCTTATTCAAAATCATTTAACAAAAACAACTGAGGTGGTGTTTTGGGAGCTGGAACAGATTAATGACATTTCAATTAATTACAACGGGGAAAACTGCTTTGAGATACGAGCAGTTTGACATATGAGCAAGGTTATGGAACGAATTAAACTCGTATGTCGAGGTACCACTGTATTAAAGACTGAATAAGTTAATCATAAACGAGTAAGAATTTAAAAGATTTTAAATCCTGACTTAAATATTTTCAGTAGTTTGCAATTTCAATACCAATGCAAAAAAAGTTGTAAAATATAAGTTTGTATAGTATTTTAGCCCATTAAACAGATTATTTTTATTTATATTAAATAAAATATTAGACTAAAAGAGTCCCAACACTGTTTAAAGTAACATAAATATATAATATGTATATAAATAAATATAGTTTACATAAAGCATTATTCTTGACCTTTATTGAATTTATTATAATAAAATATTATTTAACTTTTATTTTCCCTATCAATGTCATCATGTCTATAGCAATGAATTCCTACACCAAATCTTTAAATAAATATAATATATTGATAAATGAAACAAGCAGATAAATCAAATTACCAGTACAGTTGACAACACAGTTAGACTTCACAGTTCCTGAAGTTGTATGAATAGCATTTATTTTCTTTGTTCCAAATTCATTTTCTATTACATCAATTCCAGTCACAGCACATTTTTCAATAACCTAGAAGAATTATTCTTTTAATTAATCTCCCCCCAAAAAATTAAATCTTCCAAAGCTTTAAAATTTTTAAAATTCAAAATATATTGGAATGTGATATATGTCCAACTATGAATATGATATATGTCATATTCTGAATGTGATATATGTCAACTAGTTGCACAAAATGGTTTCATATAGGTTTACATACATAAAAAATACACATCGGAAACAACTGGATATCAAGTCAGGTTTATTTAAATACATTTCAAAAACACTAAATCACATAATTTACACCTGGATATAAAAAACTGCCTACATAATTCCCATAGAACACAGCAATAAATATATTTTTGTAAAAAAATAAATAAATAAAAAACTGCACTTGCAACCTTCTTTACTTTAAAAAAAGGGGGGACTATAAAGATATGTCTTTTTTTTAATTAAGAAAACAGTACAAAACTCCTTGTATTTCACAAAGTATTCTACGAGGCTTACAGATGTAAGTAAATAACTCATAATACAAGGAGATACAATTCAACAGTAAAAACATAATATCTAGGTCTAGAGAAAGGAAAGATAAAATATAAAATACAAATATTATTATTATAATAAAAATAGTAAAATATACCATCAATAGTTAAACTACATTAATACTCCTATAAAAGAAAATTAAACAACTTGATAATAATAAAATATAAGAATGAAATAATACTTATAAATAGTACTGATACAAAGGAAAAATGATACACCAATAATACATAATGTGATCATACATAGACAATACATAAAATAATACGATACATGATACATAAAATAATATGAGCTTCTGAGCTTCTAACAAGATCATAAAAAACAGAAGGCTACTAAATAGATTAGCTGCCCCAAAATCACTTTAAATGCACTTCTGGCACAGTATCGCCGCAAGCACACAGTCCACTAGTAAAAATATTAAAATGAAGTAAATTCCACAACCGGTCAAAATTTATAATCTTTATAAGTTTATAATCTGGTCGAAAATGCCTACACTTGAGTTGTTGAAAAACAATTGGGAAAAATCTCTTTCTCCACTCAGCCTTCGAAGAAATAAGGTATTTAGCATTCCAGTCGACCACAGTTTTCTCCCATGCCACGTGCTTTCAATAAAACTTGGGAGGGTACAACTCTGATATACGCCCTAATTTCACCAAATGTGGCGATATGTGTTCTGCGCTGGTTTTTGGCGCGATTGCGTGTTGTAGGGCAACCCTGTTGACGTTGAAAAATCTTTTGCTGGAGCTCGTTGGTTCGCGTCTGTGTCTCAGAAGGTAAAATGGTGCAAGTTGTTGAATTGAAGTTCGTCAAAAGGAAATGTCATTGTGGCCATCCTGTTGAGGGGCAGTGTGGGTATTTGGAGGTGTGGAAAGAGGGTCTGGGAGATTATTTTTAGTGGCTGTGCATGATAGAAATAGGGAAATTTTCTGGATAGTGTGTCTGCCTGTCATATAAATATGATAGTGATTATGTGGCGGCATGTTAAAGGCGGTATGAAATTAGTATTTCTGTTGTTCAAAAAAGCATTAATTCATGGTAAGTGCATTTTATTTTATTCTTGTTTTTATTTTGTAGAATGTTATGTTCATTGTTTTTTTAGTATGAATTTCTGTCATTATTGTTGTTTTTTTTTAGTTATTTGAAATTTATTTTAGTTTATTTTGTTGATTAGTGCGTTTTGTTGATTGTGCAATTCGTAGATATTTTTTTAAAGTTGAAACAGAATGCTGTGTACATGGTATACTTTGAAATTTATTGTTGCTGTGTTAATTCAATAAAGCGAGGTGTGCGTAATTCGTAGATTCGTTCATTGCCTAAATTGTGCAATTTGCAGATTTTTTTTAAGTTTAAACAGGATGCTGTGTACATGGTATTCTTTGAAATTTATTGTTGTTATGTTAATTTATTAAAGCGAGGTGTGCGTAGTTAGATTCGTTCGTTGCCTAAAATGTTCCATTCATAGGTTTTTAAGTTAAAACATATCGCTGTGTACATGGATTCCTGTCAAATATTTTTGGTTAGAAACTTTACGTTTTTGCTATCTAAATTTTTTTGTTTTTGTTTCGGATTTTTAGCTTAAATTGTGTGTTCAAAACGCAGTTTTTGCATGTGCGAAAACCGCGTTTTTGGAGACATTTTAGGCTTAAAGTTCGAAATGTAGACAAAAAATTTAGATAGTAATATGGCAGCATGGAGTTTTGGCGAGAAATTTGGCGACTTGAGGGTGCATATCAGAGTAGTTCGGTTGGAAGCAAACAACATTAAATCAATATCAACATAAGTCGCCTGCTTAGCCAAATGCTCAGCCCTCTCATTATTGAGAATACCACTGTGGCCTCAAACAAACGTATGCAAAACAAATATCTTCAGTATGCCTAATCACATGTAAAACAGAGTAAATTTCCACCGCCAATCTTTCAGTCAATAGTGTATCACGTAGGAAAGAGTGAAACTGTGTAAATAAGATATTTAAACGTCTTATTCCGATGACAAGAGTTTTGTATCCATTTAACAGCAAGATTTAAGCTCAGAAACTGGACTTGAAAAACAGAACATACATCTGGTATCCTATATTGAACAGCTACATTATCCCTCTCATCTTCATGAAGAACAAATGCAAGGCCAACCTTTCCATTTAACTCACTACTTACCATCTGTGAAACAAATAATTCTATATTCTTGGAAAATATTACAGTACAAAGTCCATAATCTGGACTCGTCGGGACTTCGGCGATTCCGGATTAGGAGTTTTTCCGGATTATAGATCATCAATTTAAATCTGGTAAGATGGTATGCAGAAAATTATACAATTAAAATTATGAAATAAAGAACAATTATGATCTAAAGGGTATTAAAATTTACAAAAAAAAAGCTTAATATTTATTTGTTTACTTTATTAAACATTTCTTTCAACGTAAGTTGTTTAAGTTGCTTTGTTTTTTGTGCTAATACTTTCTCTTTAATTCTATAAACAGACATAATTTCTTGTTCATTTACAAAGTTCCACTGTTCAAGTCCTGTAACTGCTGTGTCGAGAATACCGACTAACTTGTCAATCGAAAATTTTTCGTTTTCAATAACTTCTCTGTCACTTTCTTTCGGAAGGGTGCATGGGTAAACGCTTTACGCGCATGCGCAGCGGACGCGCGCATTAAATAAGGATGCGTAAACGCATTACGAGCATGCGTAAGTTTGTGGCTTTGAGGTCCGGATTATAGATAATTCCGGATAATGGACATCCGGATTATGGACTTTATACTGTATTATCATAAGTGACAACTGTTATGTGGTTTGTGTCTGAAAGTTGAGGTAAATTTGAAAAAGAAAATATTCCATTCAAGGGATTGCAAGGGTTGTCATTAGAAAGTCTAACATCTGGTTCATTCAAGATTATTAAATCAGTAGGAAGAAGACCAGAAATAACAAATGCAGCCTCATAACTAACAAACCTGCAACCAACGAATAATGCAGAGGAGAAATCTTCTTTGAACCCTTCTAAGAAGTTTACAGCTTATTTTCTTCCTTAAGGAATTCCCCTAAGCTCTTAAAGCATAGGAAATGAGTGGTACAATAGCCTGATTATAAATCAGTTTCAGAACATCACTTTTAACCTCCATAAGTGTTCTTTGAAATTTGCAGAAAACATAGAAGAAATTTTTCACTCTTATTGGAAATATAAAAAATATGTTGCTTCCACTATAATTTATTCTCTGCAATAATTCCTAAATATTTAATCCACAGCACTTTTTCAATAGGATCATTCCCAAGAGTTAAATCAATCTTATAAGATGACACTGAATTTTTTGTGTATTATCATAATTTTCGACTTTGAAAAGTTAAATTCAAGCTTGTAGTGCTTTGAGTATTCAAAAATATAGTTTAAAATATTCTGAGAATGAGCACTGGCATCATTAATTTTCTGATACTGTACAATAACAAGTAAATCATCTGAAAAAGTGATTTGTTGACTATTCTGGAATTTTCTCAAATTACAAAGCAAATCATTCATAATAAGATTCTAAATAAAAGGACCAGAAACAGAATCCAATATAAGGACCAATATGAGGACATCCTTTCTCCAAATCAAATTCTGTTGTCATTAGGGCTGTGGAATCAGAGTCGGGCAGATTTTGGGGTAAAAGAAGTCAGAGTTGGAGTCGATAAAAATATGTTGACTCAGACTCCAGTTTTCATTGGCCAGTTTGATTTTGAAATGAAATTAAAATGAATTGAAAAAAATTAATGACAGGCTGAGTTATTATTTTTATTTATGAACTGTATAAATAAATAGTTATTTTCTATTTATTGACCTAGTAATAATAAATATAAGGGAGAGAAGATGGATGTGATATTTGCCATTAGTGATTACATTAATTCATTTAGTTACTTCATTTAGTTACAAATCTTCACTGGTAAATTAAGGTAAGCAGCAATAGAAGCAAGAACTCCCAAAATTGAATGCCATTCTTAGGAAGCGAGCAGGAAAAGGTACAACTATTGATCAAGCAATGAGATAAGGAAGTGCATATTTGATAAAGATGTTATTAGAATTAAATACTTTTTTAGGAAGATGTAGTATAACCCTAACGTTTCACTAACAGAAAGACTGTAGAATGATTTGGAGAACTGGAAACTTTTTTTCTACACTCGTATACAGCCACAGAAAAGCTGCAATCTGAAGAATTGACAGGAGGCGGGAATGGGATGTTTGTTCTTTCTAAAATGGAGGGTTTATTGCAGAAGGAATCATTTCTTCAATGAAGAAAATAGAAACTAGTTTGCTAGACAACAAGATCTTGCTGGGTTCAATATATGTAGATCCAAAACACCAAATTTTCTTGGATGATGAACAAATTAAAAAGGCAAAGAAAGTCATCTATGAACTTTCATTAAGAGTGAAATTATTCTCAGAACAATTGGAGAATTCGAATCAAAACAGTCAAACTGCAAACATTGCAATTGAGTCTCTATCATCCTTTTCCATTTATGAATTAGATTTGGAGAAATATTTTTGGATGATATTGAAAAGACTAAGGCAAAGCGAATGAAAATAAAAAACAAGAGCCTTTAGATATAAAAATGAAAAAATACAAACAAGATTTCTACACGGCCTTTGAAGAAATAAAGAAATATGATTGCACTTACAAGACACCTCTTTTAGAACTTATAAAACTCTATCCTGAAAAGTTAAAAGAAGTAGCCCTAACAGTAACAGCTCTTTCTCCTACTCAAGTCAGTGTGGAAAGACTTGTCTCAGCTCTGAAGTTTATCACATCCGATATGTGGCCCTCCAACAAAGAAAATCTTGCCAAAGCTATACTGTTTCTTAAAATTAACTAATGCCATATATATGAGGGAGTCGGAGTCAAGTTGGAGTTGGAGTCATTAAAATTCCAGGAGTCAGAGTCGGAGTCGGTTCATTTTCCCTACCAACTCCACAGCCCTGGTTGTCATAATACCCAAAGTAATTTCAGCTGAACGAAACTGCAAGAAACTCTTCGTTAAATAAAATACATTCTTAGGAACTTTGAGACACCTAAGCAAATGAAGAACACCAGGCCACCGCATTATCGAATGCACCTTTAATATCCAAGAAAATACAAAAGCTGACGTAATTCCTACACTTCCTTTGAGCAAGAATATTACATAATCCAAGCAAAGCATCATCAACAGACCTTTGAGGAGTAACTCATCTTTACTCAAAAGACCAGAACAACTGAGACAATAGTTAAGTCTATTTAAACATAGTTTCTAAAGACACTTGCCTACACATGAAAGTAAACTAATACAACAATTGTTATCAATATACATGTTCGAAATCTCAGCAGTTTTAGAAATAAGAATAACCCTCGTACTCCTTCAGCATCGTGGAAAAATGGCAAGCTTGAGACACATATTAAACAAGGCATGCAAGGCAGAGGGGCAACCGATATGAAAATTTCTAATCATGTCATTAGTAATCTTATCGGAACCCAGAGACTTATTCGAATTTAAGGCGCCAATCATGCAATCAACTTCTGTGGCAGAGAAAGAGACACCATATTCGCCATCATATGCCAGATCGGCCTCACAATGCACGATCGATGAAAATGAGTATTATGTACAAGAGAAACATGATAATCATGATATTAATAAGTTGTGTAGTAAAATACAAGTAACTTATACTTACATAAAAATCTTCATTCATCTTCTACTAAGTAAAAGTTAATAGCTAGGTATTTGTCAAATGCACAACATATGTAACAGATCCTTATGAAGAATACTATTCTTGATTAACAGATCAGTTTTATTAAAAAGAAAAGAAGAAAGTTTTGATTTGCTACTTTCATTTCTGCTATTAAATAATTTTTATTCAAATAAGAATACTTTTTGTTTTTGCATCCAACTTCCTAAGCCTTTTTCTTAGCACAGATTTGAATTGGAATATAAACTAATATTGTTTATATTACAATACAATTATACTAAACAATTATCTTAGACATTTACTTCTGGTTACAAAGTTTCTCAAAATAAGATACAGAATTTTATGAGAATAGATTCAGCAATAGGGGTAAAATGCATTTGCTTTGATAGTACAAAATGCAACTTTTATATGGTTCCCAAAGAACCAAAGTCCAATTAGTAAAATATTCACTCTGCTTTCACAAATTAAACACAAAAAGTCCACATACAGTGCAAAATTTCTGAAGAAATAATAAAAGTTTGCCAACACATATCCAATTATTAGAGACATTTTAAACCATAATTAAATAAATTGAAAAATGAGCTGTGACTAGTATTGATATAATAGAAAATAAATTTGGAATATACAGAAATTAAATGCTATTCATACATTTTCAGGAAATGTGAAGTCTAATTGCATTGTTAAATGTACTGAGAATTTAATTTATGTCTAAGTTTCTTATTTCATTTATCAATTTATTATATTTATTCAAACATTTGATATATGATTCTATTATTGTATTTTTTAAGTTAGTCTCAGAACTTCTCTTTAATTTAAGTAGCAATGCAAAACAAAAGTACCCCATTTTAGTGATGGTTGAAACTTTATTGGGCTAATAGAATTAGTTAACTACAGAAATTAATTGTTCTTATCTTAGTGAATTTTATACATAAATAGGTGGAAATTTTAGTATTTAATGTATAAAAGCACAGTGAAAGTTTTACTAACTGGACTTTTGCTCTATGCAATTAATAAAAAATTTAATTCTATGTTTTAAAGCCCATATTATGTCAAGTGGAAAATATAAGTTGTTAATGATTATATTAAAAACATTTTATACTCATTTCATAATTGTATTTTATGAATAATATATCTTATATTTACATTAATTTGTTTTTGAATAATAAATAATATTCCTGATTGCCTAACATTCAATATAATAACAGAAGCATGTTGCCAACCAAATGAAAATACCATAAAAATGAATTCTGATAATTTTTTATTTTTCATTATAAATACTTATGTTATTTACATCATGAAAAATAAGTATCCTTATCCTTAAATCCTGTTGTAAAACTGTTTTAAAAGTTATTATTTTTAATACAAATTAACAAAAATAAGATATTTAAATCATAATATTTAAATTGTTTTTAAAACTTCTAACCAAACAATGATAAAAGAAGTTTATTACATTTGTTTTTAAACAGCAGTAACTAACTACCATATCTGAATATTATTCCATTATATTTTATGATACATAGTGCAATTTTGGGGGGTAAATGCTGTTTTAGAAAACAGTTTAATTCTTTCCTACACTGAAATGAATTTCAGATCATATTTGAGTTGATACTGTTTTAGCAATCCACATTTCAATAACCTGAGTTCAGACTTAAAAGTTCCTGTAAATGGTAACAGAGAAGATGCAGTCTTGCTTCTCTTAATATAAGGTGTTTTCTCCCTCCTTCCAGCATGCCTTCGTAGTGTAACGGTCAGTACACTCGGCACATGTTTGAGAGGTTCTGGATTGAGTCCCGGCAAGGGCACTGCTTATTTTTCATATTTTTTTAAGCAAGATTCAAAAATATTAATGACTCTACAATGGTGCCTGGATTAAAAAAGGTGGTGGATGATGATTCTTTACCACCAAGATCTGGCAAATGGGTACCCTAATCACCAGTAGCCCTGTAAAAGGGAAGATTTAAGGAGTTTTCTTCCTCATTCCAGCATGTCTTCCGGGTGTAATGGTCAGCACACTCGGCACACATTCGAGAGGTCAGGTTCAAGTCCCGGCGATGACTTTGCTCACTTTTTCCCGTCTCCTGCATCAAAAATCCCAATAACTCTATATTATTGATAAAATAACTTAATTTTCTTTCTTGAAGTAGTAAAATTAAGGTCCTTTTATATATCAACAAGTGCAAAACTGCACTTAAGCTAACTAATAAATTTTCCATCTGGATAAATAAATAATAACATCATATAAGCCTTCTAATGAACTACAATAGGTTTTAAAATGTTAATAATAATGCATTTATTATTTAAAAAGAATAATTAATTTAGAATTAAAATTTCACATATCTGGTTGGCAAAAAATATAACGTAACAATATAGAAGGAAACGGTACTGTTCTGTTATCAAGACCAGACTCGAATATCGTCAAAAGCTGATGATCTGGCAAAAAATTTGAAACATAAAATTAATCGCCAAAATATTTACAAGACAGCAAGGTTATTCCTTGCAGGGGTGCAATGCATAAAAGTACGCTAGTGGAGAAAGTCAGGAATGGACGGACTCTTGTGATACCACAACTAAAGATTTTAAATTCATTGTAAGTACTTTTTATACAGTTTGGCATATGTAAGTACTTAGTGAATATGAAATAAAAATTTTATTAACCATTGAACACTTTTTTTTTTAAATTTTGGGTGTGGCAATACTAGGAAAGTATGCGGGCAGCCAATGGCCTAGGAATGGTCCTGCAAGGAAAACCCAATGCAAAAAATTACATGACAGATATTTAAAAAATTAGAAATTTTTAATGTAAATTCAAGAAATTAAAAAAAATCATTTTATGGTTTTTTGCACACTTCAGACTGAATTCCTGAAGAAATTGTATGGAAATGTTTCATTTCTAGACAAATCCCAAATTTTCAGATTCATAGTAAATACAATAATAATAAAAACACAAGTTACCGCTACAACTTTAGAATTTGCATTCATGCTGTCAATTTTGAAAAGGCATTCTTTTACTTTTTCTTAAAAACGTTTACATTATAATGACTTTAATAATAAACATTGGCGACTTCATATGAACCAATCTCTTTGCAAGTTTAGCAAAACATTTAATGGTGATTATGGTCCTGATAACAGAACAGTAGCAAGAAAACTTACCAATAAATTAACATTACTGTTAAAATCTGTTTGCATTAGCTGAAGAAATATAATATTACAACAGAACATAACAAACAATTAATGAAAGATTAATAAGGAAATGTATAATATACTTTAGCACCAGACTTTGTTGCAGCACGAACAAGTGAGACGCAGAAACCAGCTGGATCTACAGTACCATCACCTGGACTGTACAAAGTTCCATATAAATCTTCAGTATTCATTAATGGGTACAGTTTCTTTGTTTCAGAAGGTGATAATACATGAGACTCAATTCCAAATGCTTTGCCAATCTAAATAAAAGTATTATAATGAAATGCAGGAATAAAAATTATGAAGATATTCCATACAAATCAAAAGCAACTAAGCATTATATATAAAACAGTGTTAAATAGCTTTATTTATTACACCACAAATTTAACACTCTTGCAGCTAAATACTTTATATAAAGTTTTAAAAAACATTTTTTGATAACATAAAAAAATAAATAGTATGAAATTCCATGGATTCCATTTTAAGACCAAAAAATGAAAAAACCTAATCCACTGAAATGCTATCAAATAGTCAAACTATTTCACATATCCACACTATCAAAGAATATTTGCATATTTCAGAAAACTTATTTGTGAATAGTTAATTAGTTGTTAAGAACATTAGGGCTACTTTAGCAGTGTTCAGTGGTCTAATCCATCCAACTTCTAACAGCTCTATCCAAAACATTTCTGATTTTAATGCAATGTAGCAAATAAGACAAAAAAGATCAAGATGCAATTAAAATATGATAGAAATCAAAGCAACAATCAGTGCTTAAATTGTGCTGGAGCCCACCGGAGCCCGCCTCCAGTACTTCTAATTTTTTAAGATAAACTACAATTCTAGCCGGAGCGCACCAGAGCCCTCAATAAGATGAGCTCCAGTACTTCTTTTTATAAAAACGAACTACAATTTAAAAGGAAAAAAATTAGAATTCCTAACATTTTAGTTTAACAATAAGCAGACCTTGCAATACTCTATTTTCCTAGAAATTCAAACTCATGAGAATATGAGACGTTCAAATAAAGTCCCCTCACTCACGCGTGGAAACCTTTCCCTTTAAGAAGGGCAATAAATTTAGGAAAGTTTGTTTAGGAACACATAAATTTCTTGCCAATGCCATCGATGCTTACAGTTAGTTATCCTAGCAGGAAGGAAAATTTGTCTTCTTAAATGTTCGTTAAGTGACAGCGAGTACAATAAGAGTGAAATATTGAGATAAACTAACTCCTCAAGCAAGTTCTATACATCGTCTTTTTTCCACACTATCCACTAATGGGGGGGGGAAAGTGTAACCAGCAACTTTACATTCATCCTTAGAAATCAGATTCTCTAGGACGCATTTTACCCCTGACATACATGTGCTTGATGGCTATAATTATATCACCACAGAGCCGCGGTCAAAGAAAACGTTCTGTCTCACCAAGATTACCCTCATTTTTTGTTTCCACCCACTCATACCCCTATTCTGTCTCGCCCTGGAATTTTCATTAAATATATTTAATTTTTGTGATGATAAATGAACTCCCCCCCCCTACGATCAGAGCTTAAATTGGGCCGGCCTACCAGATCTCGGCACCGGTGCTTCTTAGTTTTTGTAATGAATCATAATTCTAGCCGGAACGCACCGGAGCCCTGAATAAAATGGCTGCGGCACTTCTTTTATGTAATTGAATACAATTCTTTGAAATTTTATATTAAAAATTTTCTTTTAACAATAAAATTATATTAAAACCATTTATTAAATTTCAATTTATCTCTTTACAGTTTATTTAATTTTAATTATTTAATTACTTCAATCTTTAATTATTTCAAAAATAATTAGTGATAATAATTATCAATTAAATTATAATTAATTAATTAATTAATTATTGATGAATAACAATTTATAAACATTAATTAAATAACTATTGATTAATTTGATAATTACTTTTTAATTTTAAAATTATTAATGAGTTTAATAGTCATTTTATTTATTTATTTACTCTTGTTCCTTTTTGCTGATGGTCTTTCATAGAGCTCCAGCACTTCTAATCTTAGAAATTAAGCCCTGGCAACAATAAGAAATCAAAAACGATATTGACTGAAATATAATAGAAAGCAATCAAGCTACATAAGAAAAATAATATCAGAACTGTTACATATTAATATGATGAACCATTAGTTCTGTCAGTAATGCATGAGGATGGTTGGTCTAGTATGGACTCATACAATGCGGAATTTGTGGCAGATATTCTATAACTGCTTCAGAAGTTCATGCATATTATGACATGGTTCCAATCAGTTTTCCAATATGTCTCACGCAAGTTCAGGTGGAGAAAAGTCTGAAGATATAATTCCCTAACGAAGAACTGCTATACTATGCAGATAAATTTCAGAGATTTTCAACATGTGCTGCTGGAGCAGGGGAAGAAAGAAAGATGGCCTTCAATTATTGTCCAGTAGAACCAAAATCATGGGAACATAACTCGCTACAAGATTTTGATATATACCATCAAATCATTTAAGTGTTTTAAAGCCATCACTAAATGTAACCTTGCCAACCTTAAAATATGAAAAACCAGAAGGTCCTCTGCATGAAAATTGGGAATTTTTTCAATATTTTTGGACTCAGCTGCTATGCCATTTCGGAACAATCCAAGTATACTATTTACTTTACAATGCATGATCCAAGCTAATTTCAGTGTGTGATTTTTCTCGAAATTTGTACTAATCTTGAGTAGGAAGAAAAACTTTTATTTATCAAAGTACTTTCAATAAAATATGGCGAACAATCATTAACGATTAATGTACATATCATTACATGGATAAACATAGTAATGAACCGTTTACTGATATAAAAAAAATTTAATTCAAATATTAACAAGTTAAACATTGAGTGAATCTTCATATAAAGTTCTATATATGACTACTAAAGATTAAGACAATTTAGATCAAATATAATTTAATAAGAAAAATTATGTTGAAAATCAGCAGGAATGGGAGAATAGAATTTGCACAATTAAAGATTCAGTAATTCAATAGATTTCATTTATTGATGGAAAATATTTTTTTAAGCAAAGTCTAAAAATTTAAAAATCATGAAATCCAGTACAATATGAGGATTCTGGAAAAGATGGAAAGCCAGAAGAGCTGGTAGCTGTGAAGTAGATATTATAGAAAATATTCTAATAGTAGCATAAAGTATAGCAAATCCATATCATTGCACATAATGGAATAAAAAGCATTAACACATAAATTCTCAAACATGGTAAGCCAATTAAAAACATTGCCAGTTTTTAACTGAACTTCCAGTTTAATATGAAACCAATCCATCATATTTCCAGGTCTGCTATTGGCTGAGCGGTAAAGTTGCTGAACACTAGTAGTTCAACCTGGGTTTGTTTCCAGGAAAATGGGCTAGTTGCATGGGTGTTTTTACCTATGTGTAACACTAGTTGCATGGGTGTTTTTACATATGTGTAACATGGATATGAGCCAGTTTGCCATAGAAAGTTCTCCATGAAGGCATCTCTTCTCTTAGGCAAATACCTCTAAAATGTTTTACCATTATCAAATAAACCAAAACAAACCAAATCATCAAATTCCATACTTTGTAGGTGCAATATTCATATATTCACTTTCGTTAAGAGTACATTAAGATCATGAATGACATCATAAATTGTAGTCCACCCTGCAAGTAGCGATATATCATGACACATGCATAAATTGTAGTCCACCCTGCAAGTAGCGATATATCATGACACATGTAAGTAATGTAGATACAAAACTTTGAATGGCAGCTAATGAACCTATCAATGTGCATCTGGTAGCTCTCATCATATTATAAAATACCCAAAGAAATAACTTTAAAATTAAGCCCAATATTAAGTACATGCAGGGTAGCTCTTCATTAAAGCCAAAGTTAACAGTATTGTCTGACTGTATCACAGCTTCAATGTAAGTGCCAATTAATTCCTCAATATGGTAATTTGTTTCATTTAATATAGAGATATGATCAACGTCAAACTCATATAATTGATTATAGTATCATCAGACATACTTTGGAGATTCTCATTTGCTAGTGCAAACAGTACTATCACAGAAGGAGATTCAAATTGTGCATGATGCAAGCAATGCCTTGGGATAATGGAACTTGCCTAATTTAAATTTCATTTATTGGTCTAAAACACTTTCTTTACTAAAGGCTATAAATTAAAAACTGGGAAACTCAGTAATTTGCCGATACATACGATGAAAAAGTGGGAGCCACAGTAAAACTGAGAGAGATGGCAGCCATGTCATACTTGTTAACTTATTCTGAAAGTATTTCAAGATGATAAAGATAAATCAACTTTGATTAACCACTATGCCTGAATTATTCTGCTTACAAAATTGATTTAAGCAAAGCCTTCATTATTTCTGTTCACGAAAGAAATTATAACTTACAATGTGAAATTAGCATTTATAGAATTCATGCATCTTAATGGTATTAATTCATCTCTAATTAATTGTTGCTTATTTTCTACATAGAGCTTAACTGACCCATTTACCAAGTTAATATTATTAATATCTCTTTACTTTTAATAACATTATTAATAACAAATAATATAACTGTGTGATATATTGGAGAAATTCAAGTAAATCCAAATGGCTATTTAATAAAAGTTTCACTAAAACAACTGTGTATTTCATAGGACACATCCACACTCAGAAATATAATTTGCTCATTCCACTAATGTTCTATGGCTATAAACTTTTAAATATCTAAAATGTGAATTTAAATTAATTCATTTTATTAGCAACAAGTAAACAAAATAACAAAAAGCAAGATGGCTAGCCAAAATGAAATAAAAATGTCTTGCAAAAGTAGTTTAAGAAAAGAGCACAAGTCTATCAATGGCTGAGTGGATGAGAATGCTGAACGCTATTAGTTTCAGCTAAATTTAAATCCCAGTAAATGGGCTTGCTACATGTTTGTTTCCATTGTCTTCCTCATGTATATTATAAATATGTGTTAGTTTCTCTAAGGAAGTCTTTCATGAAAGCACACCTCCACATAGGCAGATAGCCTTTCTGTGCCTCAACTAAAACAAGCTATAACAAAACATGGTGTATTTTGTAGGTAAAATGGTACTAATAGTTCATTAAAAAAATTAAAAACAAAGTATACTAAAAACATGTCATTTTAAATATTACTTAAAATAATATAAAAAAAAATTTTATTAGCAAAGGCAGATGCAAATATTTCTTAGTTACTTTTATAATTAAATAATATTATTTTAAAACTAAAGCCAACAAAATGTTTTGAAAAGAACATAAAGAGATTTTAAAAAATTTAGCTATTCTACAAGTTTTGAACATTTTACAAATCAAACCAAATATAATAGGAATATATAAATTTTTATTCTCTCAATGTTTCCAAACTTTTGAAAGAATACCTTTATGCAAAATAAAAATTATTTTCCTTAAAATTACATTTTGTATAGATTTAAGTTTTAAGATATTTATGCATACTTTTAATGCAATAAAATATAAATTTTATGCAAAACAATTGAACTTCAATTTGAAACAATATACCGTCATAAGTCGTTTGTATTCATTCATCCTTTCTTTTGAATTTGCAATAAAAAGACCTCCATTATTAATCCATCCTGGATGCACTCCTGTCTCTTTTTCCAAGACATCATTCAATAAATGCCTTGTATGATTCAAAATTTGGATATCAGTATCACTAGGTCTCAACCTCCAAATTAAACCTATTTAGAGAAAAACTTATATCAATATAAATGTTCTCTGACAACTTATCAAATACTTTTTATGCAAGTAACGGCTAGCATTAAATTAAGAACCATAAACATAGAGGTACAAATACAAGTGGCCAGGATACTGGAATTTCACCATTGGTCATTTAAGTACAGTCCCCCCCCCCACTGCAATAAACAAGCTGCTCTGCCCCAGCTATTGCAGTGGACAGCACCCCGAGGAATGGATCTGAAGATCGCCTACTCCTCTTCACCTACCATCAAATCACTTCAGAGTACTTTCAGCTTGCCAGAAGTGCCCTATGCCATATAGGCACTAAATATACACATAAAACATCCCTGTCTTCTTCAGGATTTGAACTCAAACCCAACAATACAGCAACAAGCATTGCTAACCATTATAGACTCAGAGAAGCACCATAAAATTACAAATAGCATGTAAGAGTTCTGAAATGTCTTCATAATAACAATGCGAAGATTCTGTTAGCAAACTGACATCAAAAGCTACAGCTATTGTGCTGAAATATTTTAAGTGAAATTTCCAATGATTTAGGTAAAAGAAATTATTTATGTACTTATCGGCAGTTGCAGCATTGTCTCAGAGGTGAACAAGTATAATGAACGCAGTAGTAACTTATCAAACTCGAGTCACATTTCAAACAAAAATTTTCACTTTCAAACAGGATGTATACCAAGTTGTATATATTTCAAAATGGATATATAGCAAGGTAACCAGTGTACTTATATATTGAAAAAATATAATTGTCAAATAGAGTTTTGCTTCTCCTTAATTAGATATATGCCCTATTTATATTGCATAGAAATTAACGTAAAATGGATCAATCTGTTCTTGGAATCCAGATGATTTCTTAAATTTGTACTGTGGTACTCTATGTATAAATTCAGAACACAAAAACAATGCAAATGATTAAATAAAGACAATAAATAAAGAAAGAAAAATAAATACTATGATAACTGATAAAATAGATGAAAACTTAATTATAGTATACCATACAAAGAGAAAAAAGTTGACAGCTTAAATGGAAGACAGTGAGAGAGGGAAAAAGAAGGAATGTTCTTGCTTTTAAAAGAGTCTTCTAATATAAAAACATGAAGAACTTTCTTGGGTTCCTTCCCTCCCCCTTCTTAGTCTATTGATGCCACTTTACTCTGCTTGAAACTCAGTAGAAATCTCTTTCAGTATAAATTTATTCACTAAGTTTTGCTTCTGTCTATGCTGCAAAATATTTCTAAAGTGAAACAAGAAACTGTCATTAAAAATGCCTGCGCTATGTTTTGCTTCTCCCTTATAAGGGTGATATCATTTAATGAATCTTTGTACAAATTCTGTGGACCAAAGAACATGTATCCTCTTCTCTTACTTCCTCTTTTTTCTCTACAATTACTTTTGTTGCTACTGTTGTTATTCTCATTCTTCCATAATCTCATTTTTGTTGTTCTCTAATAACTATTTCATGGCTTCATTGTTCATTTCCTAATCAGCAGTTTTGAAAGAAAACATTTAAATAACCTTCTCTATCTAAGCTCTTGAAGTTTCTAGCTGCAACACAATGTCCAGGGCTGTGGAGTCGGAGTCATGGAGTCGGAATTGGAGTTAGGCAAGTTTTTGGAAAAAAGGAGTCTGAATTGGAGTCGCTAAAAACATGTTGACTCCAGTTTATGTTGGACAGTGTGAATTTAAAATTAAATTAAGGTGAATTGAAAAAAGATTTAATGAAAAACCGAGTTATTATTTTACATTAATAAATAGTTATTTTCTATTTTATTGACATATTAATAAATAAACATAAGAGAGGAAGATGGATGTGATGTTTGCCATTATTGATTAAACTGCTTTATTTAGTTACAATTTAGGCAAGAACTCCCAAAATTGATGCCATTCTTAAGAAGCGAGCAGAAAAAGGAGCAATTATTGATCAAGCAACATGATGGGGAAGTACATATTTGATGATATAGAGGTTGTTAGAATTAAGAGCTTTTTTAGAAGATGTAGATAACCCTAATGCTTCACTAACAGAAAGACTGTGGAATGATCTTGCAGAATTGGAAACTCTTCTTACTACACTGTATACAGCCACAAAAAAGCTACAATTTGAAGAATTAACAGGGGGCGAGATGGCAAGAATGTGATGTTTGTTCTTTCTGAAATGGAGGGTTTATTTTTCAGAAGGAATCATTTCTTCAATGAAGAAAAGAGAAGCTAGTTTGTTAGACAGTGAGATCTTACTGGGTTCAATATATGTAGATCCAAAACACCGAATTCTGTTGGATGAAGAACAAATTAAAAAGGGCAAAGAAACCCATCTATGAACTTTCATTGAAATTATTCTCAAAACAAATGGAGTATTCAAATCAGGACAAAATGCCAGGTTTTCCATTTCATAATAAATGCTAATTAATATAAATAATTTGCTATGCCATGAATTTTTTTCTGCAGCATCTATTACTTCTTTTATATTAAAAAAATAAGCTGCAACCCATTTGTATATGTTTACATATATATGAGGGAATCAGAGTCAAGAGTCTTTAAAATTCCAGGAGTCAGAGTCGGTAATTTTCCCTACCGACTCTACAGCTCTGACAATGTCCTCATCATTTTCTTCACACCAAATTTATGATCCTAAAATTACTTATTTCCAAGCTTTGTCAAAGAGAGCTAAACAAGGAAGAATATTAAAATGTTTCCAAAAATCTCTACTTATAAATTCTTTGCCAGATGTTTCCTCAAAATAACTCTGAAAATAATTTATTGTTGGTTTATGACTCAAGCTACTGTTTGTCACCCAAGATATTTTCGGTTCAAAAAATTTATTTGTGGACTGATTTGTTCATAATGAGAGATGTTCATGACCTGAAACTTTACTACTACACTTAATATATCAAATCTCATTGATAGTTATTTAAATACATTTTGTAATCTTTACAAATCTAGTAAGATTTAAATTTTTCATTTTTTATTGCAAGTATTATTTTGCAATGACAAACAAATTTATGTATGTGTATTAGCAAAATTTTTTCTATATAACATTATACACATTTATTTGCAAAATAAAAAAAAGTATTGTACACAGCTGATGTTTAATTTACAAAAATTATATAGTACCTGCAGTGTGCCAAGTTGTTCCGGCAGTTAACTGGTCCTTTTCTAATAATATCACATTGGTGCATCCTAATTTAGTTAAATGATAAAGAGTGCTACATCCAATTATACCTCCACCTACAAGAGAAAAAGATTCCATTTTGGATTATTTTGGATTCAGTTTATTGGAACAGAGTTATTTTTTCTTGTTTTTGGCCATCCCTTTGAAAAAGTGAAAAGAAGACATATACATTCTGTATTAATATTTATAATATTAGCTAGTAATTTTTTACTTGTTTTTCCAAATTATCATATTGGTACATACACTTAATTTTTTAGAATTTTGGCTCTTAGAATTTTTTGAAAATTTCTTTATCCATTTTTATTCAATAGTGTTTTTAAAGTGGTAGTTGTTTTAGGAAAAGACCAGAAATTTTTAAATTATCTTATAAAAATGACTACCATTTAATTATTGCTGCATATGAGCTTAATTACAAATCATTGAATGACTAAATTATTGTTAGATTTGATTATTTATTTAACCTAAAATTCCTGCAATGAATATATATACCTCATGACTACTTTTAGATGTTCATTGTGGAAGAAATTACTTTTGAATTCAAATTACTTTGTACTTTCTACTAAGAATTCTAAAATAAATGCAATAAAATTTACTAACATTTTTTGTACACACTAAAATTTGGCAATACATTAATATTAAGAGCACAAATTACTATCATACAGCAAGAAATACAGTATTTCTCATTAAACTTACTTGCCCTAAAAAAAGAAGCTGTCATAATCTAACACCAACTAGGAATACAACAAACGAATATTTTGAATCAAAACAAACAGCAAAATAAATTTAAGCTTTACTAAAGATTTCATTTGAAATTTCTGTTAAAAACGAATTACAAATCTCAGATTAGCCAGGAAAAAACAATAATCTAAAGCAGTAGTAAATAAAATTACAGTGAAAGTTCTGTAAGACAATCAGCTGTGGCTTCAGATAATTTTGATCTTTTGTGGTGTTTGTGTTGATTTTGATATTTTATGTGATGTTCACTACCAACATTTACATGCATTCTCCGAAACATTAGTTACATTCAAAAATCATCTATGGCAGGTTATGAAGGGTTTCACTATACCTAACTTCCTCAAGATAAATAAAAGATTTAATAGATAACTTAATTTTATAAATGTTTCAATTAAATTTCATATATATAATATGAACAAAAAATATTTTTCATTATAAGTATTTTTGGTTAATAACAAAATTGTTTTCTAGGTTAACATATTACATATTTTTGTTAACAGTTTTCTAACAACTGGTTGTAATAACTCGTAGTCAATGACAAAGAAGAATACACCATATTTACTCAAAAATAAGACCTCCTCGAATATAAACCCTCTTTACATTTTAGGGTACATTCCCAGAAATAAAAATGTAGGTAGATAGTTGTTTTGCCTTGCAGTAATTATAATAGAAGCTCAACTATCCGGCATTCAACTGACTGAAAAGTTCATGTAACCAGAATATTTTAGAATAAAAAATTTCCCCCTAAAATTTTAGTACTATATGAGATATTTCTAATGCCATTACAGAGCTCAAAATACCTAAAAAATACACATTACCACTAAGTATTGTGACTTAGCACCAGTAATGGATAAGCATGATGTCACAACACAATCATAAGACATTTGTTTCGGTTTACTGTAAATTTAACTAATTCTGGATAAGCTTGTTTAATTTTTGTAGAGAATGATTCTGTTTTCTGTCACATTTTGAAAAAGATGATTAATATCCGGAATTGCATGAAGCGGAATATTTTCAAAGTTACATTATCCAGGCAACAATAAAAGTCATGATATACAACTTTGAAAATGGATAAACTTGGCAAGGTAATGTCAACAATCATGATAAACAATTTAATGTATATGTTGTATCTGTTCATTATCTAACTAAATAAAGAATTATCTGTTCATTTAAACTTTTTCCGGAATGATTGGCGACAGTTCCAACTTTCATATTCTTTGGGATTTCATATTCATATTAGATGTTTTACTTTAAGTTCTACGAAATTTGTTGACTTTTATGTCTGATATGCAATATTTTTTTTCTAAATGTCATATAGTTTTAAATACAAGTTTTTTGTATTCTAGTTGGTAACAAAAAAGATGAAGATTTTTACAATTTTAGAGTGCATTTTCCCAATTGATTTTGCTCTTCTAACTTGAATTCTGTTTTTACATGCTCAACTATTCAGAATTTTCATGTATCCAGAGTTCGAAATTTCCTGGATATTCAAGCTTTTACTGTACAAGAGAGGAAACCTTAGTTTCAATTTTTCTCCTTCCTTTGAAATTTCCTTGAGTACTGATATACTATCCCATTGGCAATGAAAGTTTCTGGAAATTCTACCTGAAATTTCTGGAAAGTTGAACCGGTCGTTCCTACAGAATTCTGAAGGAACTCCCAGCTCTTTAATAAATAAGAAAATATTTTTTTTTACACATGTATCTTCATAAAAAAAGCTTTTGTCCAAATCTACTGTTTTATTAGGCCACCTGATTTTACCAGAAGTTCTGTTTATAATGTAATCATCCTGCAGGTATTCATTCTATTCTGTTATTGTTTTGATGGCTATATCCTGTTATATTTTGATGACCATATAATGTATATTAATACACAGTTTTTTTATGGCATGATACCATAACTTTGAAAATAATCCACTGCTTACTATTCTATAGAAAGCAAGTCCCAATTTTTTATTTTGTTTTCAAAATACAAAGAAAAATATAGCAGTAATAGTTAATTTATATCCTTATTCATAAAAACAAAAGGTAGCTTGTTGAGAATCAATGAGTTACATCAAATGAAAGCGCAGATGTTGTGAATGTCTTGTTATGAATGTCCTTATCCATAACTGATGCTAAAACCTGAGCCTGGCCACAGATTCATGGTCGAGACTATAATATGCAGGTATCTTTCCTTGAAATAATAGTGCTATTAGTTGTAGCTCAAGGACATTGTTAGTGATGTTACTTGATATCATATATGATGTTACTTGATTGTATGATATATTGACATTACTTGATAGGTGATACTTGTTATGCATTTGTTTTTAGGCATACCAGTGATCAGTATAGTGGATTCAGGCTTAAATTGGAATCATTCACCTAGATATGGCTATTAGAGTTAAAAATTTATGTATACAGTATTACCAATTGAGCTTCATTGATATTTAAATAGTATAATTATTCTACATAGTATGACAATTAAATTCTTCTCTCTTTTTACAATTTCGTTTATCAGACACATTTAAAAGATCCAATCAAATTTTAAAATAAAAATAAAGGGTCCTATTTTTGAGAAGCAACAGTAGAAGTAGATACTATAATTATACTGAATTTCAACAAACACTGCCATCTGATTAGCTGCACTTCAGATTTTACCATTTGGCAGAATTGTCATATTTTTGAATATAAATGCCACAATAGCCCAGCCACGCACACATGCATTTGAATACACATGAATTTATATGCTTTACATTTAACTGCAGTTTCATCGAATAATATATTTTGGTTGTAAAAATGTAAATCGGGTATACAAATCCTAATTCCCCCCCCTGTAAAATTTCTTATATTTAATAAAATGCTTCTTTTTATTATTATTTATGAATAGGCAATGGAACAGTATCTATCAGCCAACAAAAAATTTTCGCTAATTCAGAAAGTCACGAATGAGTTAGCTGTTTTTCAGGGAGGAGGTGAAGGCTAATAAATATATTCAACAAATATCTGTCCAGTAAACCAGTGCTCCGCAACCGGTGTGCCGCGGCACACTGGTGTGCCATGAGTAGGATATAGGTGTAAGCGTGTCAGCATTTGAATTTTTTCGGCACTTCCTTGATAACTCGGAACTCTTTGGTGCCATGAAATTCCAGAAAAGATTTTTTGTGCGTTGCAGGTGAGAAAAGGTTGCGGAGCACTGCAGTAAACGATTTACCAAAGGAAATGCCATAGTTTACTTTGAAAAAGATATTTTTAATAGTAAAAATATGTTAACTTTAACGTTAATACTTTAACAGCATAACATGAAATGTGTGATTATATACTGACACTGTTACCTTGAATGGTATGATGATCAGTAAAAATCCACTTGCCATACTAGTGGGTCAATATGCAAATTCAAATGAGGCTATATATGTGATCTTTGTAATTACATAGCATCTGTACAAAATGAAGATGCTTAAAATTCTAAAGCTCTATAGATAGTCAATGATAACAGAACATAGATGTGAGATCCTCAGACTCCATACCCTCAATCAAATCTGGAATTGCTGTTGGTAAAATCATTGGCATGGTACCCAACCTTGGAAATTAGTAATAATAATATAAACATAAGCCTCTATTTTTTAAGATAAACAGATTTTTGTTAGTCTATATTTGAGGATACCTCTTGGATTATCACTAAGTTGTTTTATTTATTACCAAATTGTTGTTTTATTTATGGTAACTGGAGTAGTTGAATGGGTTACAGTAGATTTAAGGATTATCGCTAAGTTGGATATTATCGCCCTTGGATTTTCGTTAAGTTGTTGTTTCATACATGGTAAATTGAACAGTTGAATGCTATGGAAATCCTATTATGACATAATTGGTTGCATGATTACAGTGAATTTGAATGATGGGAAAAGATTTGGAAAGGCTTGTTTGTGTGTTGGATGTTAGTTAAGAAGTACGTTGTTATTTTGTTACAAGGTAAAATGACTGAATGTAGTAAGATTAATTTGAAGTTTCTGTACGATTTGGAACGAAAGGGAAAAAGCATTAATTGACTGATGTGTAAATGAAGGTTTACTTAGTAGCCATTATAAGTATCCTGTTTGTTAGAAGGAAATGCGTATGGTTGAACGTCGGAGGATACCTGCACTACGAAGGATATTTTTTACTCTTATTTTTTGTGAATTTATGTGGTGACGTCAATATACAGATTCTAGTTCAGATAATTTTAGGAAGTTTTTGGATGCTGTTAAGAAATTTGGTTTGACTGAAGGCATGGAAATTTGTGATATTTCCTTTGTGTAGTGCTAAGATGAATTTCCTTTTTTATGTTATTTCATTGTTTAAAATATAGTTTATTAAGATTATGTATTTTTTGTTGGCTGCTCCTTTACTTTTTAAGCGAATATAGATCATTGTGTACATGGACAAAGTCAAGGGAGTGTGCAATGCCTAGTTTGTGCAATTTTCTGATATATATATATTTTTTAAAAGTGAAAATAGGTCGATGCACATATGGATACCGAGTTTGTGCAATTCTTTTATTTGTTATTTTGAATTTGTTTAGCGGTGATTTTTGCTGAAAAAAATCAACGCTACACAAAGCCAAAATAACAAGTCAAAGAATTGGGCAAACTTGGTATCCATGTGCTGCCAAAAATTGCCAAGAGGCACCAGGAAATATATTTTTACCTTTGAATGTTACAGAAACCCTGTTATGACATGACTGGTTGCGTAACTGCAGTGAATTTGACTCATAGGAAAATATTTGTAAGAACTTATTTCTGCATTGGATGTCAATTAGAAAGTGCATTGTTTATTTTGTGCTGTACACAGTAAAATGGCTGTATGTGATGAAATCTGAAGTTTCTGTACGATTTGGAACGAAAAGGAAAAAAAGCATTAATTGAGTGGTGTGTAAAGGAAGGTTTACTTAAAAGTCATTATAAATGTCCTGTTTGCACAAAGGAAATGCATATGGTCGAATGTAAAGATCGTTCAGATGGCTTTGAATGGGTTCGGCGCAAGAAAGATTCATGCAAGAAATGCCAGGGACAATCCGGCACTACGGAGGATATTTTTTACTCTTATTTTTTTGAATTTATGTGGTAATAGTAGTACGCATATTCTAGTTCAGATAATTTTAGAAAGTTTTCGGATGCTGCTAAGGAATTTTGTGTGCCACAGAAATTTCTAAATATGATTAAGTCAATATTTCCTTTTAGTAGTGCGTACAGGGTGTGAGTCAGAAGTTTCAAGACTGGTTCATTTCTGAGTAAAGGAGCGTGCGCAGACTGGCTCTGCCAGGTGGGGGAAGTAGTGGGGTGGTCTCAGGGAATGAATTGACGCTGCGGCAGTTGCCTCCGGAACCCTGGAGAGTGTGCATCGCTTGCAGCGTGAGTGTGTGTCATTGACTTTGGTCGAAAAATGAGTGAGGCGAAAATGGAGCAGCATTTGGAGCAACATTATGCAATTAAGTTTTGGTGCGACTGAACAAAACCGCCATGGAGACTCTTGGTATGATTCAAGAGGCTTTTAAGGAAGAAGCCATGTCCTGTAGAGTGGTTTTCATGTGGCACAAATTTTTCAAAGATGGCCGTGGGAATGTTGAAGACGTCGACCTCTCTAAGAGGCCATCATCAAGCTGAACAGATCAAAATGCGAAGAGAGTGCGGGAACTTTTAAACAATGACCATCGTATTAGTACTAGATTAACTGCCAATGAACTGGGACTCGGTCAGAGTACGGTATGGAGGATTGTGATGGAGAATTTGATGATGCAAAAAGTGTGTGCCAAACTGGTGCCAAAAGTTTTGTCGGTGGCTCAGAAGAAACAGCGCATGACTGTTTGTCAGGAATGCTCCGGTTTAATGTTGATCCAAATCTTCTGGAGAAAGTGGTTACTGGTGATGAGACCTGAGTCTACGAGTATGATCTTGAGTCGAAGCATCAAAGCTCAGAATGGCACACTGCTTCCTCGCCGAAGCCCAAGAAAGCTTGCATGAGCAAGTCGCGCGTGAAGTGGATGCTGATTTTTTTTTTTTTTTTTTTTTTTATGGTAAAGGAGTGATTCACAAGGAGTTTGTTGCTCGTGGACAGACTGTCACAGGTGACTTTTACGCCGGAGTGCTCCGCCGCTTGAGGGATCAAGTCTGCCGTGTCCACTCGGCGATCAAGGGTGATTGGATTCTCCACCATGACAATGTGCCCGCTCACACGTCGCGCACTGCTGCTGAAGTTTTGGTCAAGTTCAACGTGACAACACTGCCGCAGCCACTCTACAGCCTTGACTTGGCTCCAAGTGACTTTTTCCTCTTCCCCAAATCAAGACAGGCCTAAAAGGGAAGCGATTCAACTTCATCAATGCCATCCAGCAGGCTTCGACAAGATCCCTTGACAGCATGACGCCCGAGGCCTTCCTGAAGGGCTACAAACAGTGGAAGACACGCTGGCAATGCTGTGTTGATGCTGAAGGATTATATTTTGAAGAATTTTAGTTCACTGTACTTAAATGCCCAGTAAATTTATAGTTCTGAGGTAAGTCTTGAAACTTTTGAATCACGCCCTGTATATGCAATGACATGTATTTCCTTTTTTATGTTAGTTTACTGTGTGATTTAAAATTCAGCTTATTCAGCTTGGATTGGCTACAAATTTTGCTCAATTTTGGTGATGAGTAACTTTGTTTTAAAATTATAGTACGTCATCATTCTCCTGATTTTTTTTAACTGAAAATAGATCGATGTGTACATGGACAAAGTCAAGGAAAAATAAATTTAATTAATGCAATGAATTATTGGAAGGAAATTTAAATTAAATAACTTGTTTGAAAAATTTGAAACGAAATGGCTGTATATGTAAATGTACTCAGTGATGGAATTTAATAGGGTTGTCATATTTAGTGGGAGAAGGTAGTGGTTCATGTGTGTTATACAGTACAAAGTCCGTAATCCGGACCTCTATTATCCGGAATGATCTATAATCTGGACCTCAAAGCCACAAACTTTACGCATATGTGCATACATTATGCATGTGCGTAAAGAATGTGCATACATTACATACGCATGCGCGCAATGTATGCTTTACGCATGCGTGCATTGAAAGAAATGTTTAATAAAATAAACAAATAAATATTAAGCTTTTTTTTTTGTGTGTAAAATTTGATACTCTTTAGATCATAATTGCTCTTTATTTCATAATTTTAATTGTATAATTTCCGTATGCCATCTTACCAGATTTAAATTGATGATCTATAATCCGGAAAAACCCCTAATCCAGAATCGCTGAAGTCCCAATGAGTCCGGATTACTGACTTTGTACTGTACTCTATTTAAGATAATGAAGCCATAAGGTTGGTGAGATAAACTTATCGTTTAGTTAAAGTTGTCGTTAGAGACTAGTTTCTTATTAAAAAATTTTTAAAGAGAAGAAATTAATTTATCTCTGGCAAATGGTCTAAAAAGCATAAAGAAGAAGATATCTTCACTGGTAAAGGGCTATTTACCAGACTAAGAAAGATGAAATAGGACCATGAGTTAGTAAGGAATGAATTATCACAACTCTATTAGTCAACAGATTTAAACAGAGTATTTATTACCTGCATTTTTAAGACAGAAATTAATAAATTTATCTGGTACCAAATTATTTTTAAGAACTTACTTTCTGGCTGTATTCACATAAATATATAAAATTATTTATATATTTATGTGAATAAATATATAAATGTTTATTCACATATAATTATGTATATATGTATATATATGTATGCAGGGCTTATGTAATAACAGTAGATGATTAAAATTATTTTAGTCTCTTGTTTGTAGCTTATTTAAACATAGCCATTATGTAGATATAAATTTTTTATGCAAGTAGAAAATAAAAAGATTTCTATAACCTGAAAACAAAATGAAACAAAGAATTCTGCTTCAAGTGTTTAAAAAGTTAGTAAATTTTAATTCACAAGCAGTCTGGACCATTATTCAACAAGGGCAAGAAAAAACATTTGTGTAACAGCGAAACAAAATAATTTTCTTACCAATTATAACAACATCTGCAGATGATGGTACAGACACTGGTGACATAACATCTTTGCTTTTAAGAGATTTATAGGGTACTCCACTAGGTGTAGAATCAGTGGAATAAAATCGGAAATTGATGGGTGTAGCTGCTAAAGTTCTGGTTAGATTTAAACAGCGAATAAAGTTGGCCATTATTAAAAATTCCAAATCTGCAAGTATACATAATAATATCATTAATTGAAAATAATAATAAAACATTTCACATAAAAAATTCATAATATATATGAATTATAGCATATGATTTTAAAAAGAATTATTACGCATATTTTTTAAATAATTAATTTGTACTGAACTGATATATCATAAATTCATTTACAAGAAAATTTTAAGATTCTGAAAAAAAAAAAATTATGCTCATAAAATGATTTAAGTTAATAATAACTTATCAAAAAGCTTTCCAAATAATTTGAGGAATTATAATTCTTTGCGTGTTAAATATTCATTAACACGAGTAGAGCATTAAACGATTGGAAATGTTTTGACATTATCTTACATTTTCTCACCCAGATGGAGGCAGATGTTGAAAATATACCTTTTTAGTTCAAGAAGCACAAATCATATACTTTAAAATGTAAAAAAAAAAGGAAGGAATATAAAATTTGACTTTCACAAATTTAGCTCTACACCTTTAATACGAAAAATGAGTTAACCATCTATACATACACCTCGCCGCAAGATAACATGCCGTTTTGCAATATTATTATATCAAAATAAACAAAGTAGGGTAGAAACGTGGTTTCGAGAACACAGAGGTGTCGCCATCTGTTTGTAGTAGGAACAACCAAATCGTGACGGTCTCCCTTGCATGCAATTTTCAAACAAGTGAAAGAAAAGATTTTAACAAAACTCAGAATTATACTAAAAAACAAATTTTTGCTTTTTTGACACATTGATCTTTTTTACTCATGGATCTTTTTCTTCAGCAGAATCTTCTTTCATGCGGTGTTTTTACAAAGTTTTAATCTGCGTCCTTATTTTTTGATAAAAAACTAAAAGACTCCATATCTGTAGTATCCTATTCACTATCCTAAAGTGGAAAATAATAACGTTTGCTCCGCTTATCTTAGGGCTAATATCATATGAGAAATCTAGAATGAACTTTACAAGGTAGCTCTGATAAAAAAAAATTAGAACAGGCAACTTAATACTAATAACTAATAATGAATGTCCATTTAGGCACACCAAAGTGTTAAAACAGCTTGGGGTTCCTGAGGGTTTCCCCCCCCCCTTCTTGGGTTACCGATGCTCATTTTCCTTGTTTTTATAAGGAAGAATGGTTTTGGATGATTTCGCGCCTTGAAATCGATTCTGGAGTTCTTATCCGAGATGATCAGACTTACTTGCGAGGCTGGCAAAACTGGTACGGCGGAATTTAAAGTTGTCAAAAAATTTTTTTAGAGTGAAACCGAGTAGGTAAGGGGAGTAATTTCTACCTGCATTTCTGGTTTTACAAATCTGCAGAAAATTGCCAGACTATTTTAAAAGGCTTAACTTAAAAAAAAGGTTACTATTCCGTTTTGAGGACCGTAAAAAAATTGCAGAGAAAACGTATGCGCAAAAGCGCCAAATCTAGCAAACGCGCCCATTTAACAGAGCGCCAAATCTAGCGTACGTGCTGATTTGATTTCAGATTGCGTAAGTTTATATAGTTCTATATTTCTTAAGACGTCATTGAAATACTAGTTTAATTTTTAAATCCTTTTTTGATTTTAAATTCTTTTTTGATACCCTATGGATTTAACAGTTTGGGAATTGCCCATCAGTGGCGTAGCGAGGGGGGGCAAGGGGGTGTATGATGCTCCGGGCGCCGCTCGCAAGGCGGCGCCAAATGGTCTCCAAACAAGATTTTCCGGAAAATTTCAATTTTTATTTTGACAGATTTCTGGAAAATGTATTTAAAATTAATAATCACTGTAATACAATTAATTATTTATTTCCTTGTATTGCCTGATAAAATGTTTGCAGTACATCAACCAAATATCTCTGTATACAAAACATTCTTTCTGACCACTTTATTTCTCTAAAATAGAGATATATTTTTATTTTTTTAAAGGAAATGCACGTATAGCTCCCGGTTTTTATTTTAAAACGATAACACAGCCTTGTACCGAATTTCTCAAACATATCCATTTTCCAGAAACCGATTCCATGGTCTGAAAATTACATTTTTGGAAACTCCTAACGCTTCCGCTACAAAGGATTGCGTTTCATTCTCCTTTAAACGACTGATGGCCTTCCTGGTTACCGATTCAACTAAGTCATCTTGCTGAGACATCAAATATTCATTGCAACAAAGCATTCAACGCGTGTCAATTGTTTTTAATCTGCTACAACAAAAGGAATGCTGCAGGCCGCTCCTTACTCCTTAACTAAAACGCATAGTTTTCGACGTCACAAACTAAATTTACATATTCCCAATTTTGTAAACATTATAATTTTCCTTTATAATCTCTTCTATTTCCTTTTTTCTGAAAAATAGATTGTTGATTTTATGGTTATTTCATACCGAACCACAATATTCCCCTAATTGTTTTGAGCAGTGAATGTGACTGCAAGATGTTCTAAACACCATTACAGATCTATAGAGAAAATGTTTTCTAAACCTAAGAGTCTCACTTCAAATATTCCTAACTATTCATTATCAAATGCTAGCTATGAACGTTCGTTCAGCAAATTAAAATTAATTTTGACATATTTACAATCAACGATGGGACAAGATCCCCTAAGTCATCTGGCATTTTTGAATGTAGAAAGAGAAGAATTTGAAAGGATCGACTTTGATGAAAGTAATTGATAAAATTTGCTTCATCCAAGGCAAGAAAAATGTATACATAGTAATTAATTATATTAATGTATGTACATTGTATTATTATTAAAAATATTATCTACTTATCTATAATATAAAATTTTAATTGTTTAAAGCTGTACTTTTTTAAAAAACAATTATAAAAATATGTAAAATAAATAATACTTTTTTAACTAATGTAGATCATCGTAAGTCTGATTTTTCCGCCGATACAGATACATTTCAGAATCCAATGCTAGTGTGGTTAGGGTAGTGGACTATCTTAAATATTTTAGAGTATTTTATGGCAGATTCAGCATTTTAATATTATTTGCATTATTTTTATTACGAATATATTCTACACATTGTATTTCTATCAGTGTTTTTTTTGTGGGGGGGGGGGGGCGCCAAAAAGGTATTTTGCCCCGGGCGCCAGTTATGCTTGCTACGCCACTGTTGCCCATGACGAAAAGTGGGCAATAGAATTTTTGTTAAAGTGCCGAATCATCCACTGCTTGGCGCGTTTTTAAGAATTGCACAGACTCGGTATCCACGTACACATCGACCTATTTTCACTTAAAAAAAAAAAAAAAAATCCCAGAATTGCACAAAAATGGCACTGCGCACACCCTTGACTTAATCTATGTACACATCGACGTATTTTCACTTAAAAAGTAAAAGAAAATTGACAAAAATCCAATTGTTTTTACCCTTGTAAAAAGCGCCAAACAAATAAGTGGGCAATTCTGCACTTTACTGAAAATTTTTTCAAAGAAAAGGCATCATTCATTATAGAAAATTATGTTTGAACAACCAACGAGATGAAAGTATGCATTAGCGATTACTCGGTAGCGAAATAGCGATGCAGGCATCCATTCAGTTATGTTTAGCAATTTTTATATAAATTATAATAATGATCTGAAATAGTTATTTACTCTTATGCTTCCATTCTGTCATGTTTAGCCTTTTTTATATAAATTATAATAACAAAAAAGTATTATATGAAATTAAACTTTCATCTAAATTAAAACAGCAATCTTAAATAGCTATTTACTATTATACTTCCTTTCTTGCGTTAGGGTTGCCGCAATTATTTTTGGCAGCACTGGCATCAACAATAGTTTGGCTATTTTTTACGGCCCTCAAAACCGAATATTTAAAAACCGAAAAAAAGTAACTTAAAATAAAATTCTCTAGATTTGTATGCATTCTTTAGATTATATTTTAAAGTGAATATCTGTAATTTATATGTTAAACTATTCATTGCTGAGATTACAATGAAATATTAAACATTGCGTGGGAGATTTCAGAACATTTGATTTCCCGCATATATAATGTAAATGTATGTCTTTTATTTATTTTTTTTTCTAATTAGTATGTTTTGTAGTAATTAAATAATCCATTTTAATCCCGAACATTTATATTGTAAAGAAAGTTCAAAAACGAAATAAATTAATGTTTGCTTTTACGGTATCTATTAATACATGATAATCTTTCGAATACAGAAACTTGGTAGCTCTAAATAATAAAGTAATTTTTCGTATCTTTAAACATATATTAGTGTTTAATATTACATTTATATGCCCCATGGCACTAATTTTTGTTTTCGTAAAAACTATTGCATAAAACTGAATTAATTTAGTGTATAGAATCGTAAAAGATAAAAGCAAATTTTAAAATCGATTATGAATTATACGATGCAAAATTGAATGTGAGTATCATGTCATTATTTTGGCGTAAGTATAAAGAGTAAGGAATGAACACAACTACAAAGTAATAAATAAAAATGTAGTTTAATTGGAAGTTAAACGGCCTTAACATTTAATGGGAATTCGGAGAATTTGTATAATACACTCGAACTGCTGTTTTGCCAAATTCGATAGCTGAATCACTGAGACATTTTGGGAAGCAAAGGCGGATTGCAGATTCCAGTTGGTTGGAGGTTAGAGTTTTTTTCTCATCTAATTTAAATAAAGTCCGAAGCTCTGAATCCAACATCTCCAAGGCATGAGATATGAAGTCATCTAACTGGTCCAATGTCATGGCTCCTAGTTTGATTTTAGGCGCTATAATTTTCTTTATCCTTAGAATAAATCGCTTGAAGGTAGTTTTTGAAATATTTGGCTCTTTTTTTACTTTCTTCTTTTTGTACGTTTTCTTTCTGAGTTGATGCAGAGACTGAGAACTCTTCTCTAAAATAAAGTAATTTTCCATTTTGATGTTATCGATGCTATTTGGATGTTCCATTTCGATGTTATCCATTACTATCTTATATGGATGACTTCACTCTAGAAGAAATATTATGAAAAAGCTGATGTTTGAACTTGTTAGATTAACTGTTTGATTGGATTCTACGTTATGAAATGAGAAGTGCAATTAATGAATTAAACATATTTTAAATATCTTTGCAAAAAGTGATGCCATATTATTTTTGTTAAATATTAAAGGCATAAATAACACGGTCATGTGCTATTACTTACACAAATTCTTGCAATAAAGATATTTTTTGCGGTACTTGAGAATTTGCGATACTTGATAAACCGTTCCCGTTCGATTAACATTTGACTGAATGTCTAATGTATGAAATGAGAAGTACAATTAAACAATGAAGTATATTTTAAACGACTTCGCAGAAAAACGATGGTGTTTAATTTTTGTTAAATATTACAGTTATAAATAACACAGTCAGGTACAATTTTACATTTTCTTATCATAAAGATTATTTTTTACGGCACGTGAGAATTCCTGATAAACTGTCATTATTTTGCAAGTATTTTCGTGTACAGCCATAAAGAACACTGTATTACATAAACTGTTATAATAAAGATTATTTTTTATGGCACGTGAGAATTCCTGATAAATTGTCATTATTTTGCAAGTCTTTTCGAGGAGATGATAAAAAAACAAAAATCAAGTTCTGAGTTCAATATTTTGCACGCAATTTCTGGCATCATTTTAAAGCCTAATTACAATGATGCAAATATTATATATGACTCAGATTGATATTTTGAATTAAATGGAAAATGTGCACTCGCTAAAAAACTGAAAATTTAATTTAGAAACAAATATATTATAAATGTTTGATATTGCAAGTTTGTTTTTAATTACGCTACTCAGAATTTATATTCTGAACTAACTTTTATATATTTATGCTATGAATGATTTTAATTGAATATGGAATTGAATATAGTGCTTTGGATTCGCTGCTGGAAATAGCATTATTCGATATAATAATCATCAATGTTTAGGAACACATAACATTTGGATGCACTAAGGCTGGGGTCCCCAAAGTTTTTGTCCTCCCTAAGAGCACATTCTAGAATATCTGTTGGACGACGAGAAAGATTTACTTTTTCAAGGTGAATTTATAGTTGAGTAGAGTTAGTAATACATGCACATTCGGAAAAAAAAAAAAAAAAAAAAAAAAAAAAGAGAGAGAGAGAGAGAGAGAGAGATCGGTCGCATTTCGCTTTGTGCTCGTATACGTGTTGTTAAAATGAACTCCAGATTTATGAATAAAATTTGCATACAGCAGCGGACACCGTTTCTGGGGCATGGTTTGAAACCCGCTAGTTCTCATCTAAGGGGTCAATACGAAGTACACTGAAGTGACAAAGTCATGGGATAGCAATATGCAAATATACAGATGGCAGTAGTATCGCGTAGAAAATGTATAAATGCGAAGTGCTTTGGCAGGGCTTTCATTTGTGTTCAAGTTATTCATGTGAAGAGGCTTTGACGTGATTATGGCCGCACGACGAGAATTAACAGACTTTGAACGCGGAATGGTAGTTGGAGCTAGACGCATGGGTCATTCCATTTCGGATATCGTTAGGGAATTCAACATTCCGAGATCCACAGTGTCAAGAGTGTGCCGAGAGTATCTAATTTCAGGCATAACATCCCACCATGGACAGCGCAGTGGCCGACCACCTGCACTTAACGACCGAGACCAGCGACGTCTGCGTAGAGTTGTCAATGTTCACAGACAAGCAACACTGCGTCAAATAACCGCAGAAATCAATGTGGGACGTACGAGGGACGTGTCCGATAGGACAGTGCGGCGAAATTTGTCTTCCTTGGGCTATGCCAGCAGAAGACCGACTCGAGTGCCTTTACTGACAGCACGACATCGCCTGCAGCGACTCTCGTGGGCTCGTGAGCATATCGGTTGGTCCCTAAACGAATGGAAAACCGTGGCTTGGTCAGATGAGTCACGATTTCAGTTGGTAAGAGCTGATGGTAGGGTTCGAGTGTGGCGCAGACCCCACGAAGCCATGGACCCAAGTTGTCAACAAGGCACTGTTCAAGCTGGTGGTGGTTCCATAATGGTCTGGGCTGTTTTTACATGGCATGGACTCGGTCCTCTGGTGCAACTGAACCGATCATTGACTGGAAATGGATACCTTCAGCTACTTGGAGATCACTTACAGCCATTCATGGACTTCACGTACTCAAACAACGATGGGATTTTTATGGATGACAATGCGCCATGTCACCGGGCCACAATTGTTCGCGATTGGTTAGAAGAACATTCTGGACAATTCCAGCGAATGATCTGGCCACCTAGATCGCCCGACATGAATCCCATCGAACATTTATGGGACATCATCGAGAGGTGAGTTCGTGCCCAAAACCCTGCACCGTCAACACTTTCACAATTATGGACGTCTATAGAGGCAGCATGGCTCAATATTCCTGCAGGGGACTTCCAACGACTTGTTGAGTCCATGCCGAGTTGCTGTACTTCGCCGGGCAAAACCGAAGACCGACAAAATATTAGGAGGTATCCCATGACTTTTGTTACTTCAGTGTAAGTGGGAAACATTTAAATATTCTTTGTGGGAAAGACGGGTAAGTGTCACCTTAAAATTATGCTAAATGTTACAAAAGAAAAGTATTAACTGAATACAGTGGCTTAGCTAGGGCTTTCGGCGCCCGGAGCAGTCAATAAGTTTGCTATCTGGGCGTTTCCTAAATTTGCCGCACCTATACAAGCAAATAATTTATAAAATGCCAAAATTACATATCAGAAAATAAGTTAAAACTCTATGTTTATTTTTGAAGAAAAAATTTTAATCCCAACAAAAATTAATGTGTTATAAAAGAGAGCAAAATATTAATATATTTGATAAAACTATACTAATATTTTTCTCGATATTTTATTCTCAAACCTATAGATGACATTGCAGAGGTCTACTTGATTGCTGCAATTGCTGTAATGTAAACAGTATACAAGGATTTCTTAAATGAAAAGTAAACATTTGTAGTTCTTAAATACTTCTCAAATGATTTTACAAATCTCAGATCATCTTCTTACAACTAACAGTACTTACAGCAATTGTTAGAAAATATCTCAGGAGCATTATAAAATTTGAAATTTTGTTCTGGAGATTGTATTTTAGAATAAATTGCAAAATTCAAAAAGACCGTCATTTCGCGTTCACCTGCTTCGAAGATCCACATGATAAATCCCTGTAATGTTTCACCGATAAATGCTGCCCTCCAAAATGCGCAGCCTAGATATCTAGGAGGCAATGGCACGGGGCGGCCCACCTCCCTCTAGCTACGCCACTATACTGTGCTTTTCTTACTGTCGTGGTTCATAATTTTAATGAAATTATAATGCTTTTATAATGCTTAATATTGCAGTAAAAATGGTGAGAAATTCTGCAAGTGAATTTTCTGATGTCTTCGATTTTAAAGTGATATCAATGTGCTATTCCTTGCAAACCAAGCAGCGTTGTCTATTTCACTAAAACAGCATTATTTTGCGGAATTTGTATTTTACAGAGATCTGATTTTACAGAATACGAAATACTTTACTTCTCATAAAATTATGCATTAGTCAGATGCCAATTTATTTTACATCATGAAGCCTAAGTTAACAGTCAAACTGATATTAAGAAATGGGTACTTGAAATCACCCTATATGCGGTCAGATCGTAAATTTAGAACCCCTTTTTTCACGGGGGGGGGGCTGAAAAGGAAGGGATAGTCTTGCTCGTGGTCTTGAGAAAATGTGGGGGTCGTTTAAACATCTAACTTCTCTACATTCAGTTTTTATACAGAGGAAAATACAAATTGAATTCTTCGAAGGAATGCAATTTTGTACAATGAAAATGTATTAGTGAACGATAAACTGTAAGGCAAATAACATCTTTTTTTAAAGTAGGAGTAGAAAGACAGATATTTGTTGCATCAATGAATTTGTAGTAAATATTGAATTTTTCATTTTGAATGCTATATTACATATATGCGAAGTAGCTGAGTACCTGAGAAAGACTTAACCCAAATGGCTTTCAACCTTTTCACGTCTAAGGACTGTTTTTCAATTACATTGTAGTCGCTGCATTTTGGTTAATTTTCTAATGACATATAAACATTAAATTATTTTTAATTTGAGACATATGAATAAAATAACGCAAACTAGACTTCAGAAAATTCTTCAGAATGAAGTTAATACTGAAAAATACATTTATCCTATTATCCAGTTTTATCTTACAACAAATCTTTTAAAAAGTGTGGAATTAGCAGCGCACTAGGTGGAAATAAAGATGACATTGTGTTTTAGGAAAGTGGCAAATCTAGTTACAGTGACAACCTAAGTGAAAATAACTATGATTTTAGCAACAGTGATGACGAATTTCTGGGATTCTAAGAAACGCTGATGTATTTGCTAATTTTTTAATGCAACAGTTCCGTTTACTTTGTATAAAGTGTTATCATTAAAATAGGTACTTAATTCTTTTCTAAGTATTTTCCCCACGTTTTAACCTGATAAATCCCTGCGCATCTTACAGGCCAGGAAATTGAGGTATAGTACAAATCGCCCTTCGTTTCGTATCAGTGCGGACGATTTCGATGAAAAAGGGTACCTTTTTAAAAACGAACTTCTTAACGAAGAAAAGCCGTTTTATGTGCAGCATAATGTTTAAAAATACCGTCAAATTAAACAGTAATCTTGACTTTAATGCTTTGTATGCATTTCTTGAATTGATTAATAAATGTAAATTTGTAATTTAAAAAAATGTATAATATTTTATTTAGTTACATGCTAGTTATCTGTGTTATTGTTACTGCTTTAAAAGATTTGTTTCTGGTATAGACCCCCATCCCTAGAAAAAAGCGTTTTGCTTCTCGATCGCAAAAGTTTCTCGATTTTCCATTACTTAACCAGTGAAATTTCCTAGTTTTCCCCCTAATAAAATTACAACTCTGCTACAACAACTGAATAAAATATTTGCAGCTATCTACAGATA